TAATTGCTTCGGATTTGTTTTGTATTCGTTTCGTTATTGTTTTGAAATCGTTTTGTTATTATTTCCGCATGTCTGGGGCAAGTTTTATAGTTGTTTTTTGTTTAATTAGTGAAAAAAAATTATAAATATCACACCAACAGTCATCAACAGAGGGAGAGAGAAGCTTCAGAAGTTCCCTCTCTCCCATTTGGAGGTTTTTTAGCGTATTGCGCGGTCGCGTCCGCCATTAACGAATCGATTCGTAATTGTTTCGTAATTGTTTCGTAACTATTTTACGAATTACGAAATTTCGTAAATATCGAACTTTTTTTACAGAAAAATTTCGGAATTCTTTTAAAAATCGAAACACAAAACCCCCCAAAAAACGAATCGATTTTAGAAACAAATTTTTTCATTGTTACCCAGGCCTATGCAGGACTACTGTGAGGAGTAATTAAAAATCGAAACAATTTTTCCAATTTATTTCGTATTGTTTCGTAATTATTTCGTAATTGGTTCAAAATTGTTTCGAAATTGTTTCGTAATTATTTCCGAATGTCTGGTGCAAGTTTTAGAGTTGTTGTTTGTTTTATCAGTGATAAAAAATAAATTATCACACCAACAGTCAACAACAGAGGGAGGGGGAAGCTTCAGAAGTTCCCCCTGTCCCATTCGGAGGGTTTTTTAGCATATTGCGCAATCGCATCCGCCATTAACAAATTGATTCGTAATTTTACAAAATTTTGTATATTTCGAACTTTTTTAAAGGAAAATGTCGGAATTCTTTAAAAAAACGAAATGCAAGGGCCCCCTAAAAACGAAACGAGTTTAGAACCAAATTTTTCCGTGGTTACCCAAGCCCTAATATAAACCCATTTTCCTAGTTCCAACAGACCTCACCACCTCTGAGGATGCTTACCATAGATGCAGGCGAAACGTCAGGAGGGAATGTCTCTAGAACATGGCCATATAGCCCGGAAAAACCTATAAAACCTATAGTCGGAAACTCCAACTAGTCCAGCGGGAGGCAGCCAGATTGCTCACCGGAGCGTCATACAGGGAGCGTACCACCCCCCTGTTGTGTCAGCTCCACTGGCTGCCGATCCAGTTCCGAGCACAATTCAAAGTGCTGGTTTTGACCTACAAAACCCTATATGGTTCTGGCCCAGTGTATCTGTCCGAACGCATCTCCCTCTACGTCCCACCTCAGAGTCTAAGATCTTTTGGGGAGGCCCTGCTCTTGACCCCGCCTCTATCACAAGTGAGGCTGGTGGGGACGAGGAGCAGGGCCTTCTCGGTAGTGGCCCCCCCGTCTGTGGAACTCACTCCCCGGGGAGATTAGATCAGCGACTTCCCTTTTTTCATTCAGAAGAAAATTGAAGACCTGGATGTGGGACCAGGCTTTTGGACATTCTGGCAGCTAAAGAAAAGACCTTGATGATGGGCAGGAATTGACAGAACGGAATGGATTTATGGAACTCTGAACACTGACCATGAGATTGTTTACTGTTGTGTTATGTACTGATGTTTTTAACCTGTTAATTGTTTAACTGCTTTTATGTATGTATGTATATTTGATATAGGCATCGAATTTGTGCCTTCCCTTGTAAGCCGCCCTGAGTCCCCCCCTTGGGGGTGAGAAAGGCGGGGTAGAAGTAACTGAAATAAATAAATAATAATAACAACAACCCAATAATAATAATAATAATAATAATAATACAAGATTTAGATAATAATCTGGAAGGGACCCCCAAAGGCCACCCAGTCCTGCCCCTCTCTCAACTAGGAGTCCGATGTTTGTTACTTGGGGCCGGCCTGTGTGTGTATAGCGATGCCTCCCTATGCGCCTGGAGAGCATGAGGCGCAAGCACGAAGCCTTGCTCCAAGAAGGGAAGGCTGTTCCCTCTCCGCCTTTCCTGCCCGGCATCCAAATACTCTTTTGGATCAACAGGGAGGAAGGAAGGAAGCGGAGTCCACATTCCTGCCGCCGATGTGAAGCCGAGTTCAGCAGGATCCCAGGCTCCCGAGGAGGAGCGCGCCCCGTCCTCCCAGAGCATTGCTTTGGGACTTTTCTGATCATTCGTTTGGCTTGGCTTTTTAGGGCTGTCTGAGCCTTGCATCCAAAGAAAGCAGGCTGCCCACTGTTAGGGACATATATATTGGTTAATCTATATCTTCTAGCTATTTATATAATAAAAGAGAATGTTTATATGTATGTATGTGGCAGCTTTCTGATTGGCTCCCACTTTCACAGACCACTGCGACCAGCACGGGTGACGGACCTGGACCAAACTTGGCACACATAACCCCCATGACCCCCTTTACATCCTGGTGAGGTTTGGGTGAGGACGGACAATGGATGATGGGATTTGTAGTACTTTCAAACCCTTTTGTTCCCACAGTCCACTGTGCCTCCCAGCAAACTTGGCACACAGAGCCCCCATGGGTCAATGGACATGGGGTGATGGGACTTGCAGTAAAGACCAAATTTGGCACACAGAACCCCCATGACTCACTCTATGTCTATGTATTTTTGGGCCAATGGACCAGGGTTGATGGGACTTGCAGTAGCTTCAGTCACTTCCTAAGACTATTGCGACCCACACCTATGACTGATCAAGACCAAACTTGCACAACAGAGCCCCCATGACCCATTCTACATCCTGGTGCAGTTTAAAGGAGGACAGACTATGGATGACAGGACGTGCAGTACCTTCACTCACTTCCTGGACTACTGCGACCCTCATCCAATGACCAAATTTAGCACACAGAACCCCCATGACAGGACTTGCAGTACCTTCACTCACCTCCTGAGACTATTGCAACCCTCATCCAATGACCAATAAAGACCAAACTTGGCACACAGAGACCCCATGACCCATTCTACATCCTGGTGCAGTTTAAAGGAGGCTAGACTATGGATGACAGGAGTTGCAGTACCTTCACTCACTTCCTGGACCACTGCGTCCCTCATCCAATGACCAATAAAGACGAAATTTGGTACACAGCGCCTCCATGACTCACTCTGCGTCTGGGTGGGATTTTTGGTCCAATGGACCAGGGTTGATGAGACTTGCAGTAGCTTCAGTCACTTCCTAAGACCATTGCAACCCACACCTATGACTGATCAAGACCTAACTTGGCACCCAGAGCCCTCATGACCCATTCTACATCCTGGTGCAGTTTAAAGGAGGATAGACTATGGATGACAGGACTTGCAGTACCTTCACTCACTTCCTGGAACCACTGCGACCCTCATCCAATGACTGATCAAGACCAAACTTGGCACACAGAGCCCCCATGACCCACTCTACATCCTGCTGCAGTTTAGAGGAGGATAGACTATGGATGACAGGACTTGCAGTACCTTAACTCACTTACTGAAACCACTGTGACCCTCATCCAATGACCGATAAAGACCAAACTTGGCACACAGAGCCCCATGACCCATTCTACATCCTGGTGCAGTTTAAAGGAGGATAGACTATGGATGACAGGACTTGCAGTACCTTCACTCACTTCCTGGACCACTGCGACCCTCATCCAATGACCGATAAAGACCAAACTTGGCACACAGCACCTCCATGACCCACTCTGCATCTGGGTGGGATTTTTGAGCCAATGGACCAGGGTAGCTTCAGTCACTTCCTAAGACCATTGCAACCCACACCTATGACTGATCAAGACCTAACTTGGCACCCAGAGCCCTCATGACCCATTCTACATCCTGGTGCAGTTTAAAGGAGGATAGACTATGGATGACAGGACTTGCAGTACCTTCACTCACTTCCTGGACCACTGCGACCCTCATCCAATGACCGATAAAGACCAAACTTGGCACACAGTGCCTCCATGACCCACTCTATGTCTGGATGGGATTTTTGGGCCAATGGACCAGGGTTGATGGGACTTGCAGTAGCTTCAGTCCCTTCCTAAGGCCATTTCAACCCTCATCCAATGACCAATAAAAACCAAACTTGGCACACAGATCCCCATGACCCATTCTACATTTTGTTGTGGTTTGGAGGATGATGGACCATGGAGCTATACTTCACCTGCACCCACTGAACCCAGCCAACATTGCATCTAGACTAAACTTGCAGCATAGACAAACAATGCCTTTCTCAAGTAACCCGGGCAGTGCCGGGTCCCCAAGCTAGTAATATATATAATGGATTGTACTCAACTGAAAGCTCCCTTTTTCACCTGTATTTATTTCAGTAGGCAATAGGTTTTCTTTTATGTATGTAGCCTATCTCCCTTTCTTAACATTGTCTGATGCAATGTGGACTTGACCTAATTTATTTTAATGTAATCAGATTTATATTTGTTTTCTGATGTGGGTTTCCTGGATAACTATAACATCCGCCTCTGTTGACCTTAGATATTTGAATAGCTTTTTTCTTTTGTCTGCTGAGTTAAGACCATTGACATTTAATGAGAGTATTCTAGATAAGACCATTGACATTCAATGAGAGTATGTGGGTATCCTGGTTGCCTTCTTCCCTGGATTCTTCCATTCTCTCTTCTAGGTTTGGAAGTTCTGTTGTTGTTGGTTTCTTATTTATTTTCTTGTGTTGAGGAGTTCGATTTCCTTGACGCTTTCAGCAGATGGTTTTCCTTTTGAGGGTGATGAACCACACTAAATTAAACGAATCTACACTTCCGGATAATCCAGTTCAAAGCAGATAATCTGGGATCAGATGGCAGCATAGAAGGGGCCTCCGTAATGTTTACATTCATATTTTCTATGCAGTGGATAACCCCAGAGGTTACAAAGTGTTGTCAATGTTGTAGCTAGCCCAGTGATTGTGGTTTGGAGATGTTATGAAGGTTCATAATACACACACATACATACCTTTGTGTGTCACTATTATATATATAGTTCGGTAATCTGAAACAATTTTGACTAGCCATCTACAATGACAAAAATATGCGATTGAACTTCATCCATCTATAAGTCCCTTAAAGGTTATAGCAATGGGAACTCTCCTCCATTGATGTCCTTTTGCTTGTTTCAGAGGCCGAGGCGAAGAAAGCGTGCGACTGGCTGCGGGCCGCTGGGTTCCCTCAGTATGCCCAGCTCTATGAAGGTGAGTGGCATTACTCAGACTTAAGGGTCAATAGAGAGGCAAGTGGTGGTGTGTCTTCTGCAGCCATTCAGCAGCTGACCTCTATGGGGAAATGGTACTTTAGTCTATAGTGGAGGCACATACAGAGCACTGTTGTGTGATTTCCAGGTTGTATAGCCAACATGTTCCAGCAGCATTTTCTCCTGACATTTTGTCTGCATCTGTGGCTAATGGCATTTTCAGAGGATCAGATGAGGTTCAGCGTACCTGTCCGAACGTATCTCCTTCTACGTCCCAACTCGGAGTTTAAGATCTTCTAGGGAGGCCCTGCTCTTGGCCCTGCCTCTGTCTCAAACACGCTTGGCGGGGACAAGGGACAGGGCCTTCTCGGTGGTGGCCCCCGACTGTGGAATTCACTCCCCGGGGAAATCAGGTCATCTACATCCCTCCTCACTTTTAGAAAAAAAGTTAAAAACATGGATGTGTGACCAGGCCTTTGGGTAATTAAGTGGACAATAACAATAACAATGTTGACAATGGCTTGGAAATGGATTATGGATAAGCTTGATGGAGCATTCAACCAGTTTTCAGCTAATAATGGCCACTAGAGTGGCAATTCTTAGTACTTTTTAATTGTAATGTTTCTATGTTTTTAACTATTTATAATTATTGTTTGTTTGTTTTTATTATGTACATACTGTGGCAACAAATTGCTGCCAATTGGAAGCCGCACTTAGTTGCCCCCCCCCCCGGGGGTTGAGAAGGGTGGGGTACAAGTGTTCGAAATAATAAATAAATAATAAAGCATGTAGCTACAGCCTCTTGACCAATGTGCTTATGACCATGTCGATTAGAACTGTATTTTTCACACAGTAATGCACAATGGAGTTAACAGACAGTGCATTTCTATCTAGCACAGCATTATCTACCAGACAATGAGCACATATATGCAAACCATAGGAACAGCCACTGAGAAGGCCCTCCCCCTTGTTCCCACCCAATGAACCTAAGAAAGTGGTTGGACAGAGAGAAGGTCCTCTTCCGAAGATCTTGCATTGGTTCTTGTATCGGTTCATATGGGGAGAGGCAGTCCTTCAAACAGAGAAAGAGTTGAGAAGGTTGGGGAGGCCTTGACCTTCCCTCATTCCCACCAAATGATCCTGAGAAGATGATGGGACAGAGACAAGGGACAATCTTGGAGCAAGATCTTCGGAAGAGAGAAGGTCCTCTTCCGAAGATCTTGCATTGGTTCTTGTATCGGTTCATATGGGGAGAGGCAGTCCTTCAAACAGAGAAAGAGTTGAGAAGGTTGGGGAGGCCTTGACCTTCCCTCATTCCCACCAAATGATCCTGAGAAGATGATGGGACAGAGACAAGGGACAATCTTGGAGCAAGATCTTTGGAAGAGAGAAGGTCCTCTTCCGAAGATCTTGCATTGGTTCTTGTATCGGTTCATATGGGGAGAGGCAGTCCTTCAAACAGAGAAAGAGTTGAGAAGGTTGGGGAGGCCTTGACCTTCCCTCATTCCCACCAAATGATCCTGAGAAGATGATGGGACAGAGACAAGGGACAATCTTGGAGCAAGATCTTTGGAAGAGAGAAGGTCCTCTTCCGAAGATCTTGCATTGGTTCTTGTATCAGTTCATATGGGGAGAGGCAGTCCTTCAAACAGAGAAAGAGTTGAGAAGGTTGGGGAGGCCTTGATCTTCCCTCATTCCCACCAAATGATCCTGAGAAGATGATGGGACAGAGACAAGGGACAATATTGGAAGAGCAATGGGCCAATAAAAGATGGGGTTCAGAGCAATCGGTGAATCTAATTCTCCAATGTTCTTCTCCATAGAGTCGCTGTTCCCTCTTGACATCGCCGCAGTGAGGAAGGACCACAACTTCTTGGACCAGGACTCCCTCCAGTCCCTCTGCAGGTCATTCATTCATCCATTTAGCAATATTATCTGGCTTTCACCACCTGCCAGGTGTTCCTCTGCTGTAGACAGAGTCTTATCCATGACCGTGGCTTCTTTGTTATTGGAAGCCACTCCTTTCCTTCCCAGACGTATCTAAACATTGGGTTGGTTGTGAACTTAGTTGAAGAAATGTAGTATTCCCCGCATTAGATATACACAAGAATCAAACACAGTACATAAGAAGTAAACAGTAAAGATTGTATGAAATGTATGTATGTATGTGTGTATATATATATATATATATATATATATATATATATAGAGAGAGAGAGAGAGAGAGAGAGAGAGAGAGAGAGAGCATGTGATGCATATAATACAATATGTAACCAAATTTGATTTTTTTTTCTGTTCCTGGTTTGAAAGTATTATTTCCTGTTTAACTGAGCACCCCTTACTTCAAAAGGAGTTGTTAAACTCCAGAAACTTTGTTTTTGGGGCAGAATTGGTTGGTTGAGACCCGATGATGAGATATTCATTGGCAACCTATAGTAAAATGTACTATAGCAGGATGTCCCTCCCACAAAGAAACAAACAAAAACAAATCAAAACAAAGTTTGGGCAATGTATCGTCAAAGGCTTTCACGGCCGGAATCACTGGGTTGTTGTAGGTTTTTTTTGGGCTAAATGGCCATGTTCTAGAGGCATTTTCTCCTGACGTTTCGCCTGCATCTATGGCAGTCTTTCTCAACCTGGGGGTCGGGTCCCCTGAGGGGGTCGCGAAGGGGTGTCAGAGGGGTCGCCAAAGACAATCGGAAAATACAGTATTTTCTGATGGTCATGGGGATTGTGTGTGGGAAGTTTGAGCCAATTCTATCATTGGTGGAGTTCAGAATGTTCTTTGATTGTAATGAACTATAAATCCCAGCAACTACAACTCCCAAAAGTCAAGGTCTATTTTCCCCAGGCTCCACCAGTGTTCACATTTGCGCATATTGAGTATTTGTGCCAAGTTTGGTCCAGATCCACCATTGCGTGAGTCCACAACACTCCTCTGGGTGTAGGTGAACTACAACTCCCAAACTCAAAGTCAATACCCACCAAACCTTTCCAGTGTTTTCCGTTGGTCATGGGAGTTCTGTGTGGCAAATTAAGTTCAAGTCCATCGCTGGTGGAGTTCAGAATGCTCTTTGATTATAGGTGAACTATAAATCCCAGCAACTACAACTCCCAAATTACAAAATCAATCCTCCCCCAACCCCACTAACATTTGCATGTGGGTGCATTGGGTATTTGTGCCCAGTTTGGTCCAGTGAATGAAAATGCATCCTGCATATCAGATATTTACCTTATGATTGATAACAGGAGTAAAATGACTGTTATGAAGTAACAACAAAAACAATATTATGGTTGGGGGTCACCACAACATAAGGGACTGTATTAAGGGGTCACGGCATTAGGAAGGTTGATAACCACTGTTTTTCAGTAGTGAGGTCTTAGGATGCTTGCCATAGATGCAGGTGAAACGTCAGGAGAGAATGCCTCTAGAACATGGCCATATAGCCCAAAAAAAACCTACAACAACCCAGTGATTCCAGCCATGAAAGCCTTCGACAATACATTATTATTATTATTATTATTATTATTATTATGTTATTGGAAGAGAAGGGCGGGGCTTGTGCCGGCAGGACTGAAGACTGACAGGTCGGAGGTTCAAATCGGGGAGAGTGTGGGTGAGCTCCCTCTGTTAGCTCCAGCTCCCATGCGGGGACATGGGAGAAGCTTCCCACAGGATGGTCAAACATCAGAACATCCCAGCAGCGTTCCCTGGGCAACATCCTTGCAGACAGCCAATTCTCTCACACCAGGAGCAACTTGCAGTTTCTTGATTTGCTCCTGACACGAAATATATATATATATATATATATATATATATATATATATATATAATTATTATTGATTTCCAGCATTGTGGTGCAGCTACTGAAAAGGCAGCCTTTTGCATCTCTTTCTAAATATCCAACAGTTTGTTTCTAAGGAAGAGGAAGTAACAACAAAAACAATATTATGGTTGGGGGTCCCCACCACATGAGGGACTGTATTAAGGGGTCATGGCATTAGGAAGGTTGAGAACCACTGATCTATGGCAAGCATCCTCAGAGGTTGCTCACTACCTCTGAGGATGCTTGCCGTAGATGCAGGCGAAACGTCAGGAGAAAATGCCTCTAGAACATGGCCGTATAGCCTGAAAAAACCTACAACAGCCCAAAGTTTGGGCAGTTTAATGAACTTTCCCCGTGTTTTTTTTTTGTTAATTTTTATTGAGTTATTTTAGAGTACAGTGAAAGTGTGAGAATAATTAGAAGAGAATAGAATAGTAGGAAATTTTTAGAAGAACACACACCAATGCCAAACCTGTGAAAGAAGAGGAAAAAAAATTAAAAAAAAACCCACAAAAAATACAGAAAGAAAAAATACCAAAAAAAAAAGATAATACACTCATCAAAAAGGAAAAAATAAAAATAAAAATATTTAAATAAATATATATATATATGGATGGACTTCCTTCTGATTCTGCCCGTGTAGTCTATTCTTGTCCATACCTTTTATATTTCCGTTCTTATATATTTTTCTTATACCTCAGTTCAGTTATAGGTCCTTATACCTATTTTCAATGTAATCTTCAACTATTATCCAGTTTGTCTGTTTAACTGGATTGCCAACTTTCCCCGTGTTTTTATGATAGATCCAATTAGGAAATGACATTTAGAGCCCAGGAACAAAAATCGTGTTACAAAGTGTTTTCTATATGTTGCATGAAACTCTTCTAAGAGTTTGGTTTGCTAGTGAGACTGAATGACTGGATGGAGGTCTAGCAAGAGTGTCCCCAACACGGAGAGTTTGGAAAGCTCTGTCCTATGCAGTTGGGATGGACGGACAGACGGGACCCTGGCACCCAGAGCGGCCCCTTCATCTGGCTCTCCCCGAGGCGCCATGTGCCCGCTTGATCCCCCAGCTGTTGCCTTGACAAGTGACAATGACCTAAAACAGGGGCGGATTGTTTTTAAATAGCTTTTCTCCCCGTCGTGGGCACGGCACGAGAGAGACACCCACAACCCTCCCTGTTGTTTGCTTGCTTGCTTGCAGGAGGCTCATGACCCTGAACTCGTGCGCCTCCATGAAGCTGGAAGTCCACTTTCAGCGGAAACAGGTAAGGAAGCGGAGAGGGGAGCAAAGGGAGGAAGGCTTGGGCGCTGGCCAAGCAAAGCCTTGGGGTGGGAAATAGGCGCTAATGGGGCCTCCACACTTTGGAGATATAGAATGCTACGATGGGTTCGTTTCTGATCCAAGTACAGAACTCCCATCGACCTGAAGATAAGCCAATACAGTTATTTTGGACCCACTTTTGACCAACATTTCTAGACTGTTGGTCTAGAAATGAGTAAAGGCAGGCCCCAAGTTATGAAGAACAACAATAATAGTAATAATAAATTATTTATTTGGTTCTAATAGCAATGATACTGTATTTATTTGATTCTAATAGTCATAATAATAATAATAATAATAATAATAATAATAATAATAATAATAATTATTATTATTATTATTATTTATCGTGTCAGAGGCAGCTAGACAATTGTATTACATTTCTAACAGAACAAAACAAACAAACAAACAAACAAACAAACAGACAAAACACAAAATTTGCAAGCTTGGTAGTTGATTAAATGTCCTTTGACCAGTCTCTGGCCCCTTGGAGTGCCTCTGGTGTTGCCGCAAGGAGGTCCTCCCTTGTGCATCATGTGGCAGGGCTCAGGTTGCATTGCAGCAGGTGGTCAGTGGTTTGCTCTTCTCCACACTTGCATGTCGTGGACTCCACTTTGTGGCCCCATTTCTTGAGGTTGGCTCTGCATCTCGTGGTGCCAGAGCACAGCCTGTTCAGCGCCTTACAAGTTGCCCCGTCCTCTGTGTGCCCAGGGGGGAGTCCCTCATTTGGTATCAGCCATTGGTTGAGGTTATGGGTTTGAGCCTGCCACTTTTGGACTCTTGCTTACTGAGGTGTTCCAGCGAGTGTCTCTGTAGATCTTAGAAAACTATTTCTTGATTTAAGTCGTTGACATGCTGGCTGATACCCAAACAGGGGATGAGCTGGAGATGTCACTGCCTTGGTCCTTTCACTATTGGCTGCTACTTCCTGGCAGATGTCAGGTGGTGCAATACCGGCTAAGCAGTGTAATTTCTCCAGTGGTGTAGGGCTCAGACACCCCGTGATAATGCGGCATGTCTCATTAAGAGCCACATCCACTGTTTTAGCATGGTGGGATGTCTTCCACACTGGGCATGCAGACTCAGCAGAAGAGTAGCACAGCGCAAGGGCAGATGTCTTCACTGTGTCTGGTTGTGATCCCCAGGTTGTGCCAGTCAGCTTTCGTGTGATATTGTTTCTCGCACCCACTTTTTGCTTGATGATGATGATGATGATGTATTTCTTTGGTTCCAATACTGATAGTAGTAATAATAATACTGTATGTCTTTGGTTCTAATAATAATAATACTGTATTTCTTTTGAGTCTAATGAGAATAATAATAATGATAATAACAATAACGACAACAAAGTCAACACAGTTATTTTGGATCCATTTTTGACCAACATTTCAAGACTTCTACATGAGTAAAGGCAGTCCTCAAGTTACGAATAACAACAATAATAATAGTAATAATAATGTTTTTATTTGGTTCTAATAACAATGATACTGTATTTATTTGATCCTAATAGTCATAATGATGATGATGATGATGTATTTCTTTGGTTCTAATACTGATAGTAGTAATAATAATACTGTATGTCTTTGGTTCTAATAATATTAATTCTGTATTTCTTTGAGTCTAATGAGAATAATAATAATAACAATGACAACAACAAAGCTGACACAGTTATTTTGGATCCATTTTTGACCAAAATTTCTAGATTTCTATATGAGTAAAGACAGTCCCCAAGTTACGAATAACAATAATAATAGTAATAATAATTTATTGATTTGGTTCTAATAACAATGATATTGTATTTCTTTGATTCTAATAATAATGATGATACTGATTATGTATTTCTTTGGTTCTAATACTGATAGTAGTAATAATAATACTGTATATCTTTGGTTCTAATAATAATAATACTGTATTTCTTTTGAGTCTAATGAGAATAATAATAATAACAATAACAACAACAAAGTGGACACAGTTATTTTGGGTCCATTTTTGACCAACATTTCTAGACTTCTACATGAGTAAAGGCAGTCCTCAAGTTATGAATAACAACAATAATAATAGTAATAATAATGTATTTATTTGGTTCTAATAACAATGATACTGTATTTATTTGATTCTAATAGTCATAATGATTATGATGATGATGTATTTCTTTGGTTCTAATGCTGATAGTAGTAATAATAATACTGTATGTCTTTGAGTCTAATGAGAATAATAATAATAATAACAATAACAATAACAACAACAAAGTCGACACAGTTATTTTGGATCCATTTTTGACCAACATTTCTAGACTTCTACATGAGTAAAGGCAGTCTTCAAGTTACGAATAACAATAATAATAATAGTAATAATAATTTATTTATTTGGTTCTAATAAAAATGATGCTGTATTTATTTGAATCTAATAATAATAATAATAATAATAATAATAATAATAATGTATTTCTTTGGTTCTAATACTAATAGTAGTATTGAACCAAAGACTGTATGTCTTTGGTTCAAATTATAATACTGTATTTCTTTGAGTCTAATGAGAATAATAACAATAACAATAACAACAACAACAACAATAATGTATTTCTTTTAAGTCTAATCATCATCATATTGTATTTCTTTGAGAACAACAACAAAACAAACAACTACAATGTATTTGGTTCTAATAATAATGTATTTCTTTGATTCTAATGATGATGATGATGATGATGATGATGATGATGATGATGTTTCTTCCTAGGCACTTGGGAAGTGTTCAGCATGTGATTGAATACAAAAGCCAGCACAGTGATCTTGTTTGCTGTTTACTAATCTTATTGTGTTTCAAATAATAATAATACTGTATTTCTTGGAATATAATAATAATAATAATAATAATAATAATAATAATAATAATAATTTGATTCTAATGATAATACTGTATTTCTTTGATTCTAATAATAATAATAGTAATAATATCATATTTCTTTGATAACAGTAATAATAATACATCTTAGAGTCTAAGCTGCCATTGATTGCAAAACCACATTAATTTCAGAACCAACAGTAGGCCGCAACCCAAGTTACGAACAAGATTTGTTCTGTAGCATTGTTCTTAAGTTGAATTTGTATGGAAGTCAGAACAGGCACATTTCTTAAGTGTAACTCCAGATACACACACACATATGTATATGCATGTTTTGGATGGCATAGGAAAGGGTGAACACTCCTGTGTTGTCAATTTTTCTGTTTGTGCCCCTATTCAGAAGATTCCACCCCATTTTCTAAAAGTTTTGGGGAAATTTGGCTTGTGGTGGAAAGAAGGACTGGGGATAAAGCTTCAGTGGAGACCCCCTTTCCCCATGATAGTAACTCTTCCGAGAGTTAATTTCCCTTCCTAGAGGTAGATTCCTGTTGTCTGAGCCCCGTTCTTAACTAGGAGTCTTTTGTAAGTCAGATGTTTGTAACTTGGGGATGGCTTGTACGTAGGGCAGGTGTTTATATTCTTCCATGGCTTGGATGGAGGCTCCTTGAGCCATGGTTGGATCCCACTTGAGCAATGACTCTGTGCTTGGTCTAGAATGAGGAGCTGGAGGAAGAGGACCTCTGTGCCATCAGCCACCGCTGGGCCTTCCAAAGAGACAGCAAGAGGTGGTCCCGGATCGGCTCTGATGACGACTCCTTCCCCTGCACCTTGGATGGAGACCCTGGTCCCACCACGAAGAAGGCACCCAGCCAGGAGAGCATCCTCACCGACCTCAGTGCTGACCTGGAAGCCGCTTCGCTCCACAGTGACGCTAGCACCGGAAGCACCACCCGGACCCTCCCCATTGTGGCTGCCTCGCCTGCACCCACCTTGGACGACCCCAACCCAAACTTGACCGACCACTCGCCAACTGACCCCTCTCCCAGCTTGAATGGGAGCAGCAAGGAGAAACCCAAGAAGCGCCGGACGCGGAGCTTCCTGAAGAGGATCGAGTCTCTGAGAAGGAAAGACAAGGAGAAATCGGACTCTGCTAAAGCCCAAGAGGAAGGCGAGGCTCAGAGTAAGACCCCCTCGAAAAATGATCCCGGAGACCCTACAATTGAGAAGGCCTCGCTCCCCAGAAGTAGGACGTCTTCTTCATTGCCGAGCAGCAAAACCCTCGTCTCAATGGGATGCCGGACTCACCAAGCCCTGACCTTGGCTGAAAGCAAGCAAACATTTCAGCCCAAATGTGGTAGTGTTTATCTCGAGGACTACAATACAGACAAAAGAAGGGACAATTCCGTTCAATCGGGCTCCTCAGACCCGTTCAGAAGGGATTTTTTGATCCATATCCCCGGGGACTACAAACCGGGCACTTTCCCCAAATCGCTCTCCATCGAAAGCCTGTGCCCCCTCCAGGATGGCTGCCTGGCCGACTGGAAACCCCACCACAATGGTTTCCCGGTGCGCGGCGTGGACAGCCCCTTGCCCCTCCGGAAGAGACGACCCTCCTGCGGCTCCACCGGCAGCCTCTATGACAACGTCCCTGAATTAGGCGACGAAGACAACGACCCGTTCGACTCGGACGGTGAGAAGATCTACGAGAACCTCGACGACATCCTGCAGCACATCTGGGGCCTTCAGCAGAAGGTGGAGCTGTGGTCCCAGGCGCTGCGGATGGAACCGGGTGGAGACAACCTCGGGGAGGAAGAGACGGACTCCGGCGGGGAGCCGGCCAATGGGAATTTCGAGGAGCGGTCTGTCTCGGACATCGGGACGTCCACCAGCGACTTCGAGAGCACCGCCAACTCTCTCAACGAGGGGGAGGACATGGAGATGAGGGAGCGGAGGGACTCCGGGGTGGGAGCCTCCCTCACCAGGCCTTGCAGGTAAGGAGCATGGTCTAGATTGGTAGTTCTCAAAGTGTGCTCCACGGAGCCCTTGGGGTTGCTCCTATTATTATTATTATTATTATTATTATTATTATTATTATTACTATTATTGCAAAGGTTGGCTGGCCATCTGTTGGGGGTGCTTTGCTTGTGCTTTTCCTCCATGGCAGAATAAAGGGGGTTGATTGACTAGATGGCCCTTGGGTTTTCTGCTATTATTATTATTATTATTATTATTATTATTATTATTATTGCAAAGGTTGGCTGGCCATCTGTTGGGGGTGCTTTGCTTGTGCTTTTCCTGCATGGCAGAATAAAGGGGGTTGGTTGACTAGATGGCCCTTGGGTTTTCTGCTATTATTATTATTATTATTATTATTATTATTATTGTATTGTCGAAGGCTTTCATGGCTGGAATCACTAGGTTCTTGTGGGTTTTTTCGGCCTATAGGGCCATGTTCTAGAGGCATTTTCTCCTGACATTTCGCCTGCATCTATGGCAAGCATCCTCAGAGGTAGTGAGGTCTGTTGGAAATAGGAAAATGGGTTTATATATCTGTGGAATGGCTGGGGTGGGGCAAAGAGCTCTTCTCTGCTGCAGCTAGGTGTGAATGTTTCAACTGACGACCTTCATTAGCATTTGAAGGCCTGGCTGAGCCTGGGAAAATCTTTTGTTGAGAGGTGTTAAGATGTGCCTGGTTGTTTCCTCTCTGCTGTTTTGCTGTTGTAATTTTATTTTTAAAAACAGTATTAAAAAACTCTAAAATTATTATTATTATTATTATTATTATTATTATTATTATTGCAAAGGCTGGATGGTCATCTGTCAGGGGTGCTTTGATTGTACTTTTCCTGCATGCCAGAAGGGGATTAATTGACTGGATGGCCCTTGGGGATTATTATTATTATTATTATTATTATTATTATTATTATTATTATTATTATTGCAAAGGCTGGATGGTCATCTGTTGAAATAAGTGGGTTGGACTGTATAGTGCCTTGGCTTGCTCCTATTACTAATACTAATATTATTGCAAAGGCTGGATGGCCATCTCTTGGGGGTGCCTTATTGTGCTTTTCCTGCATAATAGTAGAAGGGGTTGGAGTGGATGGCTTCTGTGGTTTCTGCTATTATTATTATTATTATTATTATTATTATTATTATTATTGCAAATTATTATTGAGGGTGCTTTGATTGTGCCTTTCCTGCATGGCAGAAAGAAGTGGGTTGGACTCCATAGTGCCTTGGGTTGCTCCTATTACTAATACTATTTTTGCAAAGGCTGGATGGCCATCTTTTGGAGGTGCTTTGATTGTGATTTTCCTGCATGGCAGAAAGGGATTGATTCACTTGGATGGCCTTTGAGGTTGCTCCTATTACTATAATAATTATTACAAAGGTTGAAAATACCAGCCACAGATGCAGGCAAAATGTCAGGAGAAAATGCTGCTAGAACACATTGGTCATACAGCCCGGAACCCACACAACACTCCAATGATTCCAGCCATGAAAGCCTTTGACAATACATAAGATATGTGGTGCTCCTAAAATCACATTCACGCTTCTAGGATTCTCCTCCTGATTTAATATCTGGCTGGAATCTGGGAATATAATTAAATCAAGAGAAAAATCTCAAGCAGGCGTTTGGTGCCCTCTACTGACCAAACATTTAAATTGTTATGTGCCAAATTATATTGTCTATTTAAGTCTTCCTTCAAAGTAGTGTGCTGTCCATTCCATGAGAGCAAACCATTGCTTTTGTGTTTGTGTTCTCTCTGTATTGAAGCATCTCAACATTTTGTATTCAATGGTTTGTATTCAAGCATCTCAGCAGTGCAACAAAGTAAAATATATTTCAAAGTAGAACATATTTCATTTAGGACATTTAGGAATAAAACTGTGTTAACATCTTGTTTCTCTATTGTTCTGGGAAACGAATAATGGAAATTATTTTTTTCCACACTTAGCTGTGGTGAGCTCTCCAAGGTGCTGGATCCCAATCCTGAGAAGGGATTCAGCACCTTGGAGAGTTCCATGAATGCATGAACTCACATCAGGAGCACATTCTGACGGGAGATCCACCACCAACATTGCTTGTAAGCTGACTTTTTGGGGGCCCCAAATTGGGTGGGAATCCCTTCTTACCTTCTTCTTCTTCTCCCCCTTTCTGTGCATCCATTGCCACCCAGGAAACTCCGCTGGCACAGCTTCCAGAACTCGCACCGTCCCAGCTTGAACTCGGCCTCCTTGGAGATCAACCGCCAGTCAGCGGCGCAAGTGAACCTCCTCCAGAAATGCTCCCTCCTCCGCCTCACGGCCCTCATGGAGAAATACTCCGTCCCACACAAGCAGACCTGGGCCTGGTGAGTCTTGAGAGCGGAAGGGGAAAGAACCAGAGTCCGTACATTCAAGGGAGTGCCTTCCTCCAGAGAGGGGCTGGGGAGTGGTCTGTCAACGTTTTTATTTGTTTATTTGATTTCGGGCACTTCTATCCCACCCTTCTCAACCCCCAAGGGGGGACTCAGGGCGGCTTACAACCGGCACAATTCAATGCCAACAATTCAACAGATAAAATACATAACAGCAATAGCCACAATAGTTAAAAACAATCAATTAATACAATAACAACTAAAAAGCCAATCTAGTGGCCAAACGTTCACTGAGTTCTAAAATCCGTAAATCCATTCAGCATTACCATAGTCCTTTCCAAATTCTGGTCGTCATTACCTTGTCAGTCTGCCAGATTAACCAAAGGCCTGGTCCCATATCCATGTTTTCAGCTTCCTTCTGAAGGAGAGGAGGGATGTTGATGACCTAATCTCCCCGGGGAGTGAATTCCACAGGCAAGGGGCCACCACTGAGAAGGCCCTGTCCCTCATCCCTACCAGCCTCATTTGTGATAGAGGCGGGGCCAAGAGCAGGGCCTCCCCAGAAGATCTTAAACTCCGAGGTGGGACATAGAAGGAGATACATTCGGACAGGTATGCTGGGATAGTGCGTGATTTATATTTTTCTCCAGTCGTGCCTTCCCTGGATACACTGCGTGATGGACTGAATGTCTCAGAGGCAAGCTGGGAAAAATAAACCTATACACAGTAGAGTCCTTATCAGTTGTTTTCAGAGTGTAGCTGCACCATCTGATCTTGTTCTGCTCACTGTTTAGAAAAATATCCTCTTTGATTCAGTGTTCATCCAAACACACAGGAGGCTTTTAATCTTGACACGTTCCTCTATATACAAAATATAGACTCCGGAAAAGACAGAGCTCACTTTCATCCCCTCTATTTATTTATTTAGGGTACTTTTACCCCGCCCTTCTCAACCCCCAAGGGGGGGGGGGACTCAGGGCGGCTTACAAAAGGCACAATTTGATGCCTATTCAAAAATTATACATAGTGTACAAAACCATAGTTAAAACAATTATCACAGTTAAAACAATCAAAACAATCAGTATATAACACATCAATAAAACTATTCTCATGCTCAGCGTTCGTCTTTCAGAGTTCCATAATTCCATTCCATTAGTCAATTCCTGACCATTCTCAAAGTCCTTTCTTTATCTGCCTGATTGTCCGAATGCCTGGTCCCAAATCCATGTTTTCAGTTTTTTCCTAAAGGAAAGGAGTGATGTCGCTGATCTAATTTTCCCGAGGAGTGAATTCCATAGGTGGGGGGGGCCACCACCGAGAAGGCCCTGCTCCTCGTCCCCGCCAACCTCACTTGTGATAGAGGCGGGGTCGAGAGCAGGGCCTCCCCAGAAGATCTTAGACTCCGGGGTGGGACGTAGAGGGAGATCCGTTCGGACAGATACACTGGGCCGGAACCATAGAGGGTTTTGTAGGTCAAAACCAGCACTTTGAATTGTGCTCGGAACTGGATCTACCTCTTGGAGCAATGCCCCAGGTTCCCATAGACCACATGGGAAGGAGTTTAGTGCTTAGGTTAAGAAACAAAGCCAGAGTGTATGCATAATCATAGAATCCCAGAATTGGAAGAGACACCCAGATCCATTCAACCCAAAATAAACAGATAGATAGAAAGGATCCTACAGTTAGAAGAGATCCTAAGGGCCCCAAGTCCAACCCATAAGAATAGATCAGTGGTTAGGTTCTTGTGGGTTTTTTCGGGCTATATGGCCATGTTCTAGAGGCATTTCTCCTGACGTTTCGCCTGCATCTATGGCAAGCATCCTCAGAGGTGAGGATGCTTGCCTCACGTCTTGCCATAGATGCTTGCCATAGATGCAGGCGAAACGTCAGGAGAAATGCCTCTAGAACATGGCCATATAGCCCGAAAAAACCACAAGAACCTAGTGATTCCAGCTATGAAAGCCTTCGACAATACATAGATCAGTGGTTCTCAACTTGTGGGTCCCCAGGTGTCTTGACCTACAATTCCCAGCTGTTAGGATTTCTGGGAGTTGAAGACAAAACATCTGGGAACCCACAGGTTGAGAACCACTGGACTAGATAGATCAGGGGTCCTCAAACTAAGGTCCGGGGGCCAGATGCGGCCCTCCAAGGTCATTTACTTGGCCCTCTCTCAGGGTCAACCTAAGTCTGAAACGACTTGAAAGCACACAACAACGACAACAATCCTATCTCATGAGCCAAAAGCAGGCCCACACTTCCCATTGAGATACTAATAAGTTTATATTTGTTAAATTGTTCTTCATTTTAATTATTGTATTGTTTTTAAGTGATTTTGCACTACAAATAAGATATGTGGTATGCATAGGAATTCATTCATGTTTTTTTTCAAATTATAATCCGGCCCTCCAACAGTTTGAGGGACTGTGGCCTGGCCCTCTGTTTAAAAGGTTTGTGGACCCCTGAGATAGATAGATAGATAGATAGATAGATAGATAGATAGATAGATAGATAGATAGATAGATAGATTTCTAGAATTGGAAGAGACCCCAAGGGCCCCAAGTCCAACCCATAAGACTAGATAGATAGATAAATAGATACATAGTTTCCTAGAGTTGGAAGAGACCCCAAAGGCAATCCAGTCCAACCCATAAGAAATAGATACATAGATTGACAGATAGATAATCAGATAGATGAGAGGATAGATGGATGGATGGATGGATAGATAGATAGATATGATCCTAGAGTTGGAAGGGAGCCTAAAGACCATCCAGTCCAACCAATAAGACATAGCTAGATTGATAGACTCATAGAATTGGAAGATACCTAAAAGCCCATCCAATCCAACCTATAAGGAATAGATAGATTGACAGATAGATAGATAGATGAGAGGATGGATGGATGGGTGGATGGATAGATAGTAGGGCTGGGCGGTTTCGTTTTGTTAATTCGTAATTCGTTAATAATTCGTTAATTTTTTCAATTACAAAACGATATCGAACCATTCTGGAGCAATTATCAAAAAAACGAATTTTCAAAAATGTTTTGTAAATGCTTCGTATTTCGATATTGTATTCGTTTCATTATTGTTTTGAGGTCGTTTCGTTATTATTTCCGCATGTCTGGGCCAGTTTTATGGTTTAATTAGTGAAAAAAAATTATAATATCACACCAACAGTCAACAACAGAGGGAGAGGGAAGCTTCAGAAGGTTTTGGAAGTTTTTTAGCGTATTTCGCGGTCGCGTCCGCCATTAACGAATCGATTCGTTATTGTTTCGGAAATCGATTCGTTAATTTTTTACCATTTACGAAATTTCGTAAATATCGAACTTTTTAAAAGGAATTTTTTTTAATTATTTTAAATATCGAAACAAAAAAACCCCCCAAATACAAATTGATTTTAGAAACAATTTTTTCCGTTGTTACCCAGGCCTAATAGATCGATATAATCCTAGAGTTAGAAGGGAATCCAAAGGCCATCCAATCAAACCCATAAGACATAGATAGATAGACAGACTTCTAGAGGTGGAAGAGACACCCAGGATCATCCAGTCCAACCCTTTCTGCCATGCAGGATCACACAATCAAAGCACTCCCAACAGATGACCATCCAGCCTCTGTTCCCAAACCTCCAGGGAAGGAGATATCAAAGGAAATATATTCCAGTCTTCCACAACTCTTCCCAACAGGAAGTTATTCCTACTGATACATTGTGACAGTCTTGCCAATATTTAGTCCTGGGTATCGGGTCCCCTTCTCTCGGTCTTCTTCTTGACTCCAAGCCCAACCTCCCCCTCAGACTTCCTTGATGATGGCTTCCTTGTCTCTGCCAGGACTGTTCCTAAATTCATGAAGCGGAGCAAGACCCCCGACTACAAGGACAAGAGGGTCTTTGGGGTCCCACCGATGGTCAACGTCCAGCGGACGGGGCAGCCTCTCCCCCAGAGCATCCAGCAAGCCATGCGCTACATCCGGAGCCAGTGCCTGGACCAGGTGAGGAGACAACAACAACCACCACAACAGGATGGGCTCTCCTCATCAAGAATCGAAGCCATACACGAGGAAGGCCTTGATTCATATATTTGGCTGGAGTTACGCTTAAAAAATGTCCCTGTTCTGACTTACCCCCAAATCCAATTTAAGATTAATCTGCAGAATCTCTCTTGTTCATAACTTGAGGGCTGCCTGTACTTGCATATTCATAACACTATGTAACAAAATTTGAAAAATATTCTCTTCCTGGTTTGAAAGTGTTATTTCCTGTTTAATTGTGTGACCCTTACGTTGAAGGTAGTTGTTCTATTGCAGTGTTTCTCAACCTGGGGGTCGGGACCCCTGAGGGGGTCACAAGGGTGTGTCAGAGGGGTTGCAAGAAACCATCAGAAAACACAGTATTTTCTTTTGGTCATGGTGGTGCTGTGTGGGAAGTTTGGCCCAATTCTATCATTGGTGGGGTTCAGAATGCCCTTTGATTGTAAGTGAACTATAAATTCCAGCAATTGCAACTCCCAAATGTCAAGATCTATTTTCCCCAAACTCCACCACTGTTCACATTTGGGCATATTGAGCATTCGTGCCAAATTTGGTCCAGATTCACCATTGTTTGAGTCCACAGTGCTCTCTAGATGTAGGTGAACTACAGCTCCTAAACTCAAGGTCAATGCCTACCAAACCCTTCCAGTATTTTCTGTGGGTCATGGGAGTTCTGTGTTCTAAGGTTGGTTCAATTCCATTGTTGGTGGAATTCAGAATGCTCTTTGATTGTAGGTGAACTACAAATCCCAGCAGCTACAACTCCCAAGTGACAAAATCAATCCCCCCTCCAACCCCACCAGTATTCAAATTTGGGCCTATCGAGTATTTGTGCCAAATTTAATCCAGTGAATGAAAATACATCCTGCATATCAGATATTTACATGACGATTCATAATAGTAGCAAAATGACAGTTATGAAGTAGCAAGGAAAATAATGTTATGGTTGGGGGTCACCACCACATGAGGAAGTGCATGAAGGGGTCGCAGCCTTCGGAAGGTTGAGAAACACTGTTCTATTGGATATTTTATTTTATATTGCTTTTTGTATTCATATGTTTTATGTATTTTACCGTGTTGTCGTTTGTGTCTTTGGTTTTTATTTTATTGTAATTTGTTGTTTGGGCTTGGCCTCATGTAAGCTGCCCCGAGTCCCCGTTGGGGGAGATGGTGGCGGGGTATAAATAAAGTTTATTATTATTATTATTATTATTATTATTATTATTATTATTATTATTCTACCCCAACTAGTTTGTGCCACAAGCTATGTTGAATTGGTTGAGACTCAATAAGATACTCATTGAAAAAGTAGAGCAAAATGTGCTATAGCAGGAGGTCCCTCCCATAGCAACAATGTTTTTCCAGTTTAATAAAAAAAAATCCCATGTTTTTATGATAGAACCAATTAGGAAATGACATTGATAACCTAGGAACACACAGTAATTGGCAAAGCAATGCATTAAGCATTTATGGCCAATACTAGATAAGGACAATAGCACAGCATCGTCTGCATATAAGAGCAAGGGAACATGGGTAGAGGGGAGCTTTGGACTGTGACCATTCACCCAGGAATGAAAAGTTGTTTTATAAATGCATTGTCAAATGCTTTCACATCTGGAATCACTGGGGCGTTGTGTACTTTGCGGTCTGTATGTCCAATGTGTCCTATCTTATCAATGTCTGAATGTCCATTCCATTTGCATGCAGATTGCCAACAGACTTGCTTTTGCTTTTCCTGCATCCAGGTGGGCATTTTCCGCAAATCGGGGGTCAAGTCCCGGATCCAGGCATTGCGGCACATGAACGAAGCCTCTCCTGACAATGTCAATTATGAGGGGCAGTCGGCGTACGACGTGGCGGACCTCCTCAAGCAGTACTTCCGTGACCTTCCAGAGCCCGTCTTCACCAACAAGCTGACAGAAACCTTTTTGCAGATTTACCAGTGTGAGCGGATGAAAAAAGGCTGTGTCACTGTGGGTTAGGGTTGGGAGGCCATCCAGAACTTGCTCCCATAGATTCCATAGACTTCTGTCCCCCTGTCCTTAGGAAGAAAATTGAAATTTACTGAGCAAACCAGCAGGAAGTTAAGGAGAGGGAGGACTGGAGGACTTGAAAAGAAGGGTGGAACTCCTTGTGAGTCAAAACAGCAGAAGAGTAGGGATTTCAGACAGGAAATTGAGGAGATGAAAGTGGAAGAAAGTTCAAGTTGAGAACTTTATGACCTAAAGAGAAGGGAGGAGGAGTGCAGGAAGAGGGGAATGGCTATAATAAAGGTAGATAAGAGGTGTTGAGAGAAAGACAAAGTAGAGAGGTGTGAATGAGAGGTGTGAATGTTTTGATACTTTAGGAACCTCTACTATATGAAGGCTGAGTTGTGTCTCAGCCTGGTGGCACTATTTTTCTGACCAAAACAAACCTATTGCATTTGATCTCCTCACCTCTAGTGTCTGATTGAAACAGATGCTATGGAGTTTGGCTAAACGCTTCTGGCCCAGCTTTGCTATGCGAATGTATCTCTCCCTATGAACCTTCTAGGAATTTGAGATTGTCTGAGGAGGCCCTGCTCTCGATCCCACCTGCCTCACAGGTGCGCTTGTTGGGGACGAGAGACAGGGCCTTCTCGGTGGTGGCCCCTCGGCTGTGGAACTCTTTTCCCAGGGATATTAGATGTGCCCCCTCCCTCCTGACTTTTCAAAAACAAGCGAAAACCTGGCTCTTTGAGAAAGCGTTTGGAGCTGCAGCGTAACCAGTTAATACAAAATCGTAATATGAACATGGAATGGCTAAGATTATGTAAACGGATGAGGAATTTGGATTGGTAGACATTGTTTTTTATTGATTTTTATAGTTTTATAGTGTTTATGGATTTTATATGTATTTAAGATGTGTTTTTATTGATATATGTATTCTATATGGCATCTAATTGTTGCCGATCTGTACGCCTCCCTGAGTAGCCTTCAGGCTGAAATGGGCGGGATAAAAATGTTGTAAACAAATAAATAAATTTGGGGGCAGCAACCAGGCTCAAAAATTACCTTAATGGGTGCCGTGTTTCCCCAGTTGTGCCCAAGGAGCAGCGCCTAGCAGCCGTGCAGGCGGCTATTGTGCTGATGCCCGACGAGAACCGGGAGGTCCTGCAGACCCTCTTGTACTTCCTGAGTGACATTGCTTCGGCCGAGGAGAACCAGATGACCTGTGGGAACCTGGCTGTGTGCTTGGCCCCCTCCGTCTTCCACCTCAATGCCTCCAAGAAGGAGAGCACCTCCCCCAGGTGAGCCTCTAGGGACCCTCTTCCGCCTTCATGGCCATCTCCTTGCATAACACTACGCAACACGATTTGTGTTCTCTCCACTCTACTCATGTTCCCTTACTCTTATATGCAGATGATGCTGTGCTACTGTCCTTATCTAATATCGGCCTTAAAGGTTTAATGCCTTGCTTTGCCAATTACTGTGTGTTTCTGGGTCATCAATGTCATTTCCTAATCGGTTCTGTCCTTATTCTTATATGCAGATGATGCTGTGCTATTGTCCTTAATTAGTATTGGCCCTAAACACTTAATGCATTGTTTTGCCATTTACTGTGTGTTCTTAGGTTATCGGTGCAATTTCCTAATTGGTTCTATCATAAGAAAATGTGGGGTTTTGTGCATGGAAGGAAAGAAGGGGAAGGAAGGAAGGAAGGAAGGAAGGAAGGAAGGAAGGAAGGAAGGGAAGGAGGGAAAGAGGAAGAAAGGAGAGAAGGAAAAGGAAAAGGAAGGAAAGAAGCATAGAGGAAAGAGGAAAGAAGGAAGAGGAAAGGAAGGAGAGAGGAAAAAGAAGGAAGTATGGAGGAAAGACAAAAGAAGGAATGAAAAAGGAAGGAAGGAAGGGAGGGGGGAAGGAAGGGAGGGAGGGAGGGAGGGGAAAGAGGAAGAAAGGAGAGAAGGAAAAAGGAAAAGGAAGGAAAGAAGCATAGAGGAAAGAGGAAAGAAGGAAGAGGAAAGGAAGGAGAGAGGAAAAAGAAGGAAGTATGGAGGAAAGACAAAAGAAGGAATGAAAAAGGAAGGAAGGAAGGGAGGGGGGAAGGAAGGGAAGGAGGAGGGAGGGAGGGAGGAGGGGAAAGAGGAAGAAAGGAGAGAAGGAAAAGGAAAAGGAAGGAAAGAAGCATAGAGGAAAGAGGAAAGAAGGAAGAGGAAAGGAAGGAGAGAGGAAAAAGAAGGAAGTATGGAGGAAAGAGAAAGGAAGGAAAGAGAAAGGAAGGAAGGAAGTAGGGAAGGAGAAAGAGGAAGAAAGGAGAGAAGGAAAAAGGAAAAGGAAGGAAAGAAGCATAGAGGAAAGAGTAAGGAAGGAAGAAGGAAGGAAGAAGAAGGGAAGGAGCGAGGAAAAAGAAGGAAGTATGGAGGAAAGACAAAGGAAGGAAGGAGCGAGGGAAGAAAGAAAGGAAAAGGAATGGAGAAAAGGAAGGAGGGAGGAAATGGGAAGGAAGCATGGAGGGAAGAGGGAATAAAGAGGAAGGCAGGAAGGGAAGAAGGGAGGAAAAGGAAGGAAAGAAGAAAGATGAGGAAAGAAGGGTGGATAGATAGATAGATAGATAGGTAGATAGATATGATAGATAGATAGATAGATAGATAGATAGATAGATAGGTGAGAGATAAATAGATAGAAGATAGATAGATGGATAGATAGATAGATAGATAGATAGATAGATAGATAGATAGATAGATAGATAGTAGGGCTGGGCAACCACGAAAAAATTTGTTTCTAAACTCGATTTGTTTTTAGGGGGTTTTTGCGTTTTGATTTTTAAAAGAATTCCGAAATTTTTCTTTAAAAAAGTTTGAAATTTACGAAATTTCAGAAATTACGAAACAATTACGAAACAATTACGAATCGATTCGTTAATGGCGGACGCGATTGCACAATATGCTAAAAAACCCTCCAAGTGGGAGAGGGGGAACTTCTGAAGCTTCCCTCTCCCTCTGTTGTTGACTGTTGGTGTGAGAAAACAAACAACAACTATAAAACTTGCACCAGACATGCGGAAATAATAACGAAACGATTTCGAAACGATTTTGAAATAATTACGAAACAATTACGAAACGAATTGAAAAATTCGTTTCGATTTTTAGTTGCTCCTGAATGGTTCAATATCACTTCGTTATAAAAAAAAATAATGAATTAATAACGAATTACGAAATTAACGAATGAAACCGCCCAGCCCTAATAGATAGGTAACAAGAACTTGGCAGCTTTGTTAATTTTTATTATTCCAATAAGAAGGTGGTGCAGGGTATCTCTGGGCACTTTAGTCCTGGGAAAGCTCCCCAAAGCTTTACAAATACTAAAACACTTGATGTGTTCTGCCTGTTTCTTCTGCCATGGGTTTGCCATGTTGATGTTTTGGGCGGAGCCTGCATTTGCTGCCTCTCTGATGTACCTGTTGCCAATCAAGAACCCACCCAGGTGTGAGTCTCTCACCTGCCTGCCCCTCTTTTCCCATTTCAGGATGATGCACAAGAGGAGCACGGTGGGCAAACCTGACCACAAGGACCTGAGCGAAAACATGGCCGCCACCCAAGGCCTTTCCCACATGATCGCCGACTGCAAGAAGCTCTTCCAGGTAAGTTTGCTGCATTTGCCATTGAACCTGGAGCTGTTGGGTGCCAAGGTGATGACAATGCTCAACAAAACATTTCAGAAGTTTATTCATATTGGGTTGCTGTGAGTTTTTGGGCTGCATGGCCATGTTCCAGTATCATTCTCTCCTGATGTTTCACCTGCATCTGGAGTTAAGGGCATCTTCAGAGATTCTGTTGGAAGTGAGGCAAGTGATGTGTGTGTTTGTGTGTGTGTGTGTATGTATGTATGTATATATATATATATACACACACACGTACACACACACACCTGTGGAATGATGTCCAGGGTGGGAGAAAGAACGCTTGTCTGTTTAAAGCAAGTGTGAATGTTGCAATGAGAAAGCTTGAATAGCATAGTGTAGCTATGAAGCTGCAAAGTCATTCAGTGAGGGTATCTGCTTAGAAGGAGCCTGCCCATTGTTGCCTGGAGTCACCTCTGATTGGGAGGTCTTAACTAGCCCTTGATTACTTGCTGTCTGGAGTTCCCCTGTTTTTGAGTGTCTTTCCTTATTTATTCATATAGACTGGCCACAATCCTGAATCAGGAAACAGGCCATCCCCAAGTTACAAACATCCGAATTACAAACCACTCCTAGTTAACAACTTGTTTTGTTTGTAATTTGGGGACTGCCTGTACGTGGAAGCACTTGCATGCATGGAAAGGAAGGTTGGCCAGATGTTGCTTGCAGTTCCCTTGCTTTTCGTCAATGTGTGTTAATTGTTCATGGACGGCTTGCCTCCCCAGATCCCCCACGAGATGCTGCTCCAGCTGTGCAGCTCCTATGTCTCGGCCGAGGCGCAGCCGCTCTCCTCTTTGGAGCTAAAATCCCCGGATGAGTTGGAGGCCAGTCTCCAAGGGCTGCTGAAGGACTCCTCGGAGCGCTTCAAGGGCTGGCTCAGCACCGCCGGGCCCCGGAACACGGAGCTCTCCTGCAAGAAGGTGAGGGAAGGTCCCAAGGGAAGGCCCAGCCATGAGGGATTTTGAGACATGAGAGAAGAATTCCCACTCCTCGTGGAAACCTGTCTTGGCAAGGAGGTGCTTGGGAGAAAGGCCTGCCCCTTGAGATCCAACAGTTCTCCAGCAAGAGGGCTTTGGAGGACAAGATGGGCTCCCCATATGGTCATCCATCGGCTGCCTGGTTGACCAGCTCAATAATGAGAACAACAACAACAACAAAAACAACAACAACAACAACAACAACAACAGGAAAAATAATAGTCATTGGAGGCCAGGGTGGGCTTACCATAGGCTCAATCATAAGCTGCCTGGTTGACCATCTCAGTAATAATAATAATTATAACAACAACAACAAGATGCCATTGGTGGTAAGGGTGTGTTTACTATAGGCTTAGCCCCAGGCTGCCTGGTTGACTATCCCAATAATGAGGAGGAGGGCAGGAGGAGAAGTAGTCGTCATTGAAGGTCAGGTGGGCTTACCATAGGCTCAAACATAAGCTGCTTGGTTGACTATCTCAACAACAACAACAACAACATGATACCATTGTGACAAGGATGTGTTTACATTGGCTCATCCATAGGCTGTCTGGTTGACCATCCCAATAATGAGGAGAAGCAGTAGTAGAAGAAGTAGTACTCATCATTGAAGGCCAGGATGTGTTTACCATAGGCTTATCCATGGGCTGCCTTGTTCACCATCATAGTAGTATTAGTATTAGTAGTAGTAGTAGTAGTAGTAGTAGTAGTAGTATGTAATTGAATTCCAGGGTGTTTACCATGGGCTTATACATAGGCTGCTTGGTTGACTATCTCAACAACAGCAGCAGCAGCAGCAACAACAATAACAACAGCAACAACAGTAACATGATGCCATCGGTGACAAGGATGTGTTTACATTGGCTCATCCATAGGCTGTCTGGTTGACCATCCCAATAATGAGGAGGAGTAGTAGTAGAAGAAGTAGTACTCATCATTGAAGGCCAGGATGTGTTTACCATAGGCTTATCCATGGGCTGTCTGGTTCACCATCATAGTGGTATTAGTATTAGTAGTAGTAGTAATAATATGTAATTGAATGCCAGGGTGTTTACCATGGGCTTATACATAGGCTGCCTGGTTGACTATCTCAACAACAACAACAATTATTGTTGTTTTTGTTGTTTGATTTCCTGCCTCTTCATGCAGCCCATTCAGGAGCGCCCCTTCTCACCTTGAGTGTCCCCCCAATAACGCCAAGCCCCCTCCTTCATCTCTCCCTCCTTTGTGCAGGTGGGGGACGGCCACCCACTGCGGCTGTGGAAGGTGTCCACGGAGGTGGAGGCTCCCCCGCACGCCGTGCTGCAGCGTGTGCTGCGAGAGCGTCACCTTTGGGACGAGGACCTGCTCCAAGGGAAGGTGGTGGAGGCCCTGGACAAGAACACCGAGGTCTACCACTACGTGACTGACAGCATGGCCCCCCACCCAAGGAGGGACTTCGTGGTCCTCCGGTGAGGAAACCCAGGCATCAGGCAGACTCCTGCTTGCCTGCCTCGTCTTCTCTTCCCATCTCAGCTTTTGTCTTCTCTTCGTCCTTCCCCCTCCCCTCTCTTTTCTTCCCTTCTCCTCACTGCCCTTCAGTTCCTTTCCCTTTGCTTCCCTTCCTTTCCCCCTTCCTTTTGCTTTTCCCTTCCCTTAATTCCTTCGTTCCCTTTGTTTTCTTTCACTTCCTTTTCCTTCCCTTTCCCTCACTTTTCTCCTTTTCCTTTCCGTTTTCCTCCTTCCTTAGCTTCCATTCCCTTCTCTTTGCTTCCCTTCTTTTCCCTTTCCTTTCTTTCACTTTCCCTTCCTCCTTCCTTTGATTCCTTTCCCATGGCTTCCTTTCCCTTTTCTTTTCTTTCTTTCCCTTCCCTTCCCTCCCCTTCCCCCTCCCTTTCCCCTCCCCCTCCCCTCCCTCTCTCCCTCCCCTCCCCCTCCCCTTCCCCTCCCCCCCTTCCCCTTCCCCTTCCCCTTCCCCTTCCCCTTCCCTCCCCCTTTCCCCTTCCCCCTTCCCCTTCCCCTTCCCCTTCCCCCCTTTTCCCTTCCCCTTCCCCTTCCCCTTCCCCTTCCCCCCTTTCCCCTTCCCTTCCCTTCCCCTTCCCTTCCCTTCCCTTCTCTTCCCCTTCCCCCTTCTCTTCCCTTCCCTTTCCCCTCCCCCTTCCCCCTTCCTCCCCTCCCCCTCCCCCTCCCCCTGCCCCTGCCCCTGCCCCTGCCTCTGCCCCTTCCCCTTCCCCTTCCCCTTCCTTCCTTTGCTTCCCTTCACTTCCCAGCAGTGGATGACCCAATGCCGTTGTGCCTAATTTCCACTGCAGGAAGTGGCGGACGGACCTTCCTCGGGGGGGCTGCCTTCTGGCCTCGGCCTCCTTGGACTACAAGAAGCTTCCCCTGGAGTCGGGGGTCCGGGCGGTGGTCCTGGCCTCCCAGTTCCTGGTGGAGCCCTGTGGGATGGGACGCTCCAGGGTGACCCACCTCTGCCGCACGGATCTCAGGTGAGGCTCCAAACATCGGTGCGGGGGGCGGGGGGGGGGGGGGGAGACTAAAAGTTCTGCTTGAACCCTCCAATCTCAGGCCTTGCAACCCCAATGGGCCTTGCTCAAAGTGAGGAAATGTGTCCTTATAGAGAAAGGTGTTTAACACCTATCCCACCTTCCGGTCACCCTGCCAGCCTGGGGAACTTGGAGAGTGAGCCAGGCAACCCACCAAACCTCACCTTGTTCTTAAATGATGCCAGGTCAGTCAACAAGAAGACGCATATCATCTGTGATATCCTCAAGGGTGAAGGGATTGACCTGACATGCTTCACTGAAACCAGGCTGGGAGTTGGTAATGCGCCAACCTGGGCCCAGCCAGGTACTGTGTCAGTGAGCAGGTAGCTGTGCCCAATCAAGACCCCCTTAACCTGACCAGAGCACCTATTAGGGAGCTGAATCACCTTGAGTGTGTGTACCTGAGTCTCAAAACCAGGGATAGATCAGGGATTCTGTTTGTGTGCTGTCAGGAGTTCATGGTATCCCTTACAAACATTATATCAACAATCCCCTTTTCCAGTCATTTAGTTCTTTCTCTGATTTCACCCATTTTTTGTCCCTCCCAATTCCAGTTCTATTAATAATAATAGTCTAATAATAATGTATGTCTTTGACCGCTTCTTCTTCTCCTTCTCTTTCTCCAGAGGTCGGTCCCCAGACTGGTACAACAAGGTCTTTGGCCACCTGTGTGCGATGGAGCTGGCCAGGATCCGCGACTCCTTCCCCACGCTCAACCCGAGCGGACCCGAGACGAAGATCTGAAGGGGTGCCATCTCCCGACACTGCTGGTGCTACTGGAGGAAGAAGAGAGAAGCTGCAAATGAGCCTTCACTCCGCAGAGGAGGATGCATCTCCCCATCACCTGTGTCTTGTTGGTGCTCCATTGTGTTGCTTGGTTCAGCAATGCGTCTCCTTGCTTGGGAAGGGTCTGGGATCCTCCAAAGCACCGCTCCATTGAGTAATGGCTGTGTAATGACCACTAGTGGTGATGGCATCATATGGATGATCCAAGGGACCAGGAAGAGTGAGGCAGAAAATGACACGTTGAACCGGAGATGTGATATCAAGGAGGGCTTGCACCTTGTTGCTTAGTGCAAGGATGGCCACCAATATGTCTAGAAAGTCATGTTGTTGAAGGCTTTCCTGGTCAGAATCATTGGGGTGTTGTTGTGTGGTTTCCAGGCTGTGTGACCAACGTGTTGTGGCAGCATTTTCTTCAGACATTTCGCCTGCATCTGTGGTTAATGTCATCTGCAGAGAATCTGATGGCAGTCAAGCAAGTGGAGTATAGATACCTGTGGAATAATCTTTAGGGTGGGAGGAAAGAACCATTGCCTATGAAAACAGGTGTGAAGGGTGCAATTGGCAAGCTAGATTTGTGTGTGTTGAGTGGGATCCACCCATGAACATGTGAGTGGGGCATCTGCAAGGAAATAGCCTGGCCTTTGTTCCCTTTGTATTGTTGTTGCCTTGGAGACATCCTTAGCCTGGGTGGTGCTCAACGGTCCTTGATTGCTTAGAGCCCAGAGACCTCCTGTGCCTGAGCAGCATTCCTTATTCTCTCTCTTGATTCTAGTATTTTTCTATACTGGTTGTTAAATTTTGTTTATTTCCTTTATGTCCACAAGCACATAAGACAATTTCAACAGAATGCTACTAGAACATGACCAGAGAGCCCAGAAACCGCACAAATCCCCAACAAGATAATCGTTTCCTCTCGCCATTGCTTTCCAAATCAACTGCAACACACAACAAGTGTCCATGCTTGGTCCCCAAACTGGCAATTGCAACGAATACATGCAATGAGGTATTTGGTTGCCTGTTGATGTCTTCTTCTTCACCTTCCTTTGGGTTAAACCTTTTTTACTTTGTGGCTGGAAAGGTCTTCCTTTTGCTCCTCAAATGTCAACAGAACACAACTCCACATCTCCATTCAACCCCTGGCTTTGAAGGTAGGCTTTGAGGGGTGAAGTCAGGAGACCATATGAAGTTATGCATTCATGACTCTATCTCAGGCATGGGCCAACTTGGGTCCTCCGGGTGTTTTGGGCTTCAAAAAGATCTTCCTTTTGCTCCTCAAATGTCAACAAAACAGAACTCCATCCCTCCATTCAACTCCTGGCTTTGAAGGTTGGCTTTGAGGGTTGAAGTCAGGAGACCATATGAAGTTATGCATTCATGACTTTATCTCAGGAATGGGTAAACATGGGCCCTCCAGGTGCTTTGGACTTCAAAAAGGTCTTCCTTTTGCTCCTCTAAATGTCAACAGAACACAACTCCATCCCTCCATTCAGTTCCTGGTTTTGAAGGTCGGCTTTGAGGATTGAAGACCAAAACACTTGGAGGGCCCAAGTTGACCAATGCCTGCTCTATTTTGATGTAGGCTCTTGGTGAAAACCTGGGAAGATCTCGCCTTCCTCCTTTGTGTCCCTCCTTCCTTTCTCTTTTAGTCCAAGCCTGAACATCCCTGGCCAATTCCTAGGAATGTTACAAACCTTGTCTAACGCTTGCAGCTTTGGCTCAAGTTGTCCCCAGATAAGAATGAACATTTCCTTACACAACATCAGTGGTGGTTTGTAGGCAGTGCTGGTAGCCAATTTTGTTCATTTCCATGGTTTCTTCCTTTCTGTTGAAGTAGTCCATGTGCTTATGTATTTCAACAACTTCTCTATGTAGCCTGACAGAGTGGTCCAGAATATCCGTGTTCCCAAATAATAATATTTTTGTGTTTTGCTATTGGTGATTTTTCTGGATGAATCAGCCTGTGGTGTATTTTATGTCTAGAATATTTTCCTCAGATGGTGCTTGAGACAATACGAGTGTGACCATGGGCTAGAATAGCCAAATGGGGAAAGGTGGCCTCATTTGCAAGTGTTTGTTTTTGATCAGTGTAAATGAATGCCAGAAAATAGAGATGATGTCTTGCAGAGGAAGCCATGTTTGTGGAGTTGAGAATGGTGAAAAAATAGGGAAGAATGTCAACTGATGACCAAGTGTGTCTCTAGGAGAGATTGCAGCATGTGTGTGGCTTGCAAAGCAGTGATATATATGTGTGTGAAGTGCATGTAGAAAGGGATCACGGAAGTCAGGAATGCATTGTTTGTTGCTCTTGTATTGCTATCTGTGTGCAAATTGCAGAAAGCAAGCAACTGGGATGTCGGAGATTCTAGATTAGTGTTTGATACAAACAAAGGTTCCCAGAAATCTAGTGCAATAATATATTTTAAGACTGATGAGGAACGAGGCAGAGCTGATGAAGGGCAAGAGGAGATGCTATATCCTTTATGCATAAACTCTATTACTGGTCCCAGATAGAGTTGAGCCATTCAGTTGAAGGCAGTTCTGCAAGGTTCACTTACATAGGATCCAATGGTTCTACTCTGGGATTGACAAAAAGGCTGAATACATTATATTATGTAACATGACTTTTGGTTCCTGGGTTATCAGTCATTTCCTAATTGGTTCTATTCTTATTCTTATATGCAGACGATGCTGTGCTATTGTCCTTATCTAGTATCGGCCTTAAAGGTTTAATGCCTTGCTTTGCCAATTACTGTGTGTTCCTGGGTTATCAATGTCATTTCCTAATGGGTTCTATCATAAAAACATGAAAAAGTTTATTAAACAGCAAAAGCTTTGTCCTGCTGTAGTGCATTTTCCTATTTCAACATGGAAAATGTCCTCCTCATGGCCTCTGGAGTTTGGAGAGTCTGGAAAAGGCGGTCTTGGATATTTTTTGTATTCCATTCTATCATAAAAACATGGGAAGAATTGATTAAATTACCAAAACTTTGTTTTTGCTGGAGGGACAGTAGTATATTTTGCTCCAATTTTTCAATTCAGTGAGTCTCCACCAATTCAGCACAATTTGTGGTGCACAAACAAAGTTTCTGGGGTATAACAACTACTTCAGAGGAAAGTGCCATACAATTAAACAGAAAACAACACATTCAAACCAAGAAGAGAATGTTCAATGTATTGTCGAAGGCTTTCATAGCCGGAGTCACTGGGTTGTTGTAGGTTTTTTCGGGCTATATGGCCCTGGTCTAGAGGCATTCCCTCCTGACGTTTTGCCTGCATCTATGGCAAGCATCCTCAGATATAGTGAGGTCTGTTGGGAGTAGGAAAAGGGGTTTATATATCTGTGGAATAATGACCAGGGTGGGACAAAGGACTCTTGTCTGCTGGAGCTAGGTATGAATGTTTCAACTGATCACCTTGATTAGCATATAATGGCCTGACAGTGCCTGGAGCAATCTTTTGTTGAGAGGTGATTAGATGTCCCAGATTGTTTCCTCTCTGTTGTTATGCTGTTTTAATTTTAGAGTTTTTTAATACTGCATACTTCTGCAGGAGTCTATCGTGTACCATGCAGCTGTGGACAAGGCTCCATAGGGACCACCAAACACAGCATTGCCCAAACACGAATCAAGGAACATGAAAGGCACGGCAGACTACTTCAACCAGAGAAATCAGCCATAGCAGAGCATCTCATGAACCAACCTGGACACAGCATATTATTGGAGAACACAAAAATGCTGGACCACTCTCACAACCACCATATCAGACTACACAGAGAAGCCATTGAAATCCACAAGAAGCATGTGGACAATTTCAACAGAAAGGAAGAAACCATGAAAATGAACAAAATCTGGCTGTCAGTATTAAAAAAAAACGCTAAAATTAGAACAGCACAACAACAGAGAGGAAACAAACAAGGACATCTAATCACCTCTCAACAAAAGATTGCCCCAGGCACTGCCAGGCCATTATATGCTAATCAAGGTGGTCAGTTGAAACATTCACACCTAGCTCCAGCAGACAAGAGTCCTTTGCCCCACTCTGGTCATTCCACAGATATATAAACCCCTTTTCCTAGTTCCAACAGACCTCACTACCTCTGAGGATGCTTGCCATAGATGCAGGCGAAACGTCAGGAGAGAATGCCTCTAGACCATGGCCATATAGCCCGAAAAAACCTACAACAACCCAGGAAGAGAACATTTTTCAAATTTTGTTACATAGTGTTATTGAACAGGGAGTCAACTTGTAAATAAACCCAGTTGATTCAATAGGTCTCCAGTTGGGACTAAACTAGGATTTGAAGCCATGATCTGTGGAGAAGGACCATTATCCTTCCCAAATTTATCTTCTGACTTTGGCTAATGCTGGCCTGTGAGTAGCTCAACATTATTATTTTTGCTCTTAACAAGGGACTCAATTGACTGTAGACCGCATTCCGCCAGAAAGCAAGAAATCCCAATTTTATAGAAAACGTAACCACCTTTTTACTCTTGGTCTCGTCACCTCTTTGTTTATCCCTTTTCTTCTTCTTCTTTTTAATTGGAAAAAAAAATTGTATTCTGTTTGTGGTTCTCTTTTATCGGTGTTACTAATGTCCTGGAGGAATCATTTTTGTTGTTTTCTCAAGCGACATAAATGTTTCCTTTCTTATCGAGCTATAAATATTGTACAGTCAGAATATTAATTTAATATATAACATGGGTTGTGGATGGAAGACGTTGACCAGCGAGAGAGAGAGTGAGTGTGAAAGAGCAAACAAGGTGTGTTTTGTATTTAATAATATTTTTGTACTATACTACAGAGTGCCTAAAGGAAACGGAAGTATAAATAAAAGTACTAACATGGCTCCGGTGTTTTTTAATCTCCGTCATCACTACGTTTTGGGTGAAACAACATCTCCAAATGTCGGTATTCCTGAGAATGCAGTCACTGCAATGTGCCGTTACATATTACAAAGGATGCACTTTTTAAAAAATGAGTGAAATAATTAATGCTGATATAATAAGAATATTTTTGAAGTCCTGGAATATTGTGTCCAATTCTGGGCACCACAATTCAAGAGAGATATTGACTCTAAGCTGGAATGTGTCCAGAGGAGGGTGACTAAAATGATCAAGGGTCTGGAGAACAAGCCCTATGAGGAGCGGCTTAGGGAATTGGGCATGTTTAGCCTGAAGAAGAGAAGGCTGAGAGGAGACATGATAGCCATGGATAAATATGTGAGAGGAAGTCACAGGGAGGAGGGGGCAAGCTTGTTTTCTGCTTCCCTGGAGACTAGGACGCAATGGAACAATGGCTTCAAACTACAAGAGAGGAGATTCCATCTGAACATGAGGAAGAACTTCCTGACTGTGAGAGCCGTTCAGCAGTGGAACTCTCTGCCCCGGAGTGTGGTGGAGGCTCCTTCTTTGGAAGCTTTTAAACAGAGGCTGGATGGCCATCTGTCAGGGGTGCTTTGAATGCAATATTCCTGCTTCTTGGCAGAATGGGGTTGGACTGGATGATGGCCCAGGAGGTCTCTTCCAACTCTAGGATTCTATGATCATTCAATATTCTGTGAATTACATTGTTAAGATTCCTGTTTTATTATCCAACCCTCTTTGGTGGGCATGGTTTAAACTTTTGCAAAACCAATGGGGAAACTTCAGGGGCTTCATCTCACTAGCTTGTGATGAAAATGCAACCGACTTTGGGAGGTTTTCGAGGCTTTCAGAATTTAAACAAAAAAGTATTTGGGTGAGTCTTTTGCGGCCAGAGGTTTAGCATAGCTGGCAAATCATCAGCAACTATAAGATCTATCAACTAAAAGGTTGCAAGTTCGAAGCCCTAGGTCGGCATGAGTGGCCGACCGTCAGCCCTGCTCACTGTTTACCTAAGTAGTTCGAAAACAGCTTTCACTGTAATTAGAAAAATTAGGTACTGCTAAAGCAGGGGAGGTGTTTTACAACACCATAAAGAAAGAAGATCAGAAAATAGTGGACAACGAAAAGGAAGGAGGAAGTCCTGATGGCTCTTTGTCATAGAGAATGGATCAAGCTCAACCGTCCATGGCATCAAAATAACACCTCCTTCTGTTCTGTCTGTCTGTGTACTGTCTATACAAACGGTATTGAATATTTGCCGTGTATGTGTACTTGTGATCTGCCCTGAGTCCCCTTTGGGGTGAGAAGGGCAGAATATAAATGAAGTGCTATTATTATTGTTATCGTTATTCAGTCTTTGTGTGGATTCAGCCCTCCGTTTCTTAATAACTGTTTGTATATACAAATCTTACAAAATAGATCCGATATCTGAAAGAGAAACGACATTCTGCACAGTCCTAATAAACATGCATTAAGACCAACGTTTGCAACATCTTTGCATTGGGCATCGAAATCCAAACATAGCTTTCCCCAGAAAGATGCCAAACCCACCTAGACAAGTATATGCACCGCCACAAGGAAAATGCGTATGCGGCTTGGAAAACTAGAAGGTCAGAGGGCATTTCTGAATCTGGTCTTCTGCAAATCCGATTTGCAGAAGATTCAAAATGCATGCAGTAGAGACATCAGCCGTCAACAATAGGCAAGTTGACCAACATATTCTGTTTTCCAGCATAATACAAATATCCACTGAATACGCAACATACGTGGCTCCATGGTCAATGCACAACGGGCAAAGGCCGAGTGTAAAAGCAATGCATGTTCATATGCTAATTGGTATGCTTTAAAGTGCTCTATTTTCACTGTGATGACCAGGATTTAGTCATCAATTAAATAAAGAAATGAGTCTCGATATGGCACACCATTTATGCCAATGCACATCAACAACAGGATGCCAGAAAATACGTAGGCAACCCATTCTTCCACAATTGAGGAACAGTTTCTTCTTTGGCTCATCCGTGCCAACCTTCAGTCAAGGTCCATCCTAGAGGTTCTCTGTCATGAGACAATAGGGATTGTGTTTGCAGCAGCAGAGACCTGCAATCCAGATATCCCAGGGCTTCCTCCACGTCTGCATGGTCTTCCAAGGTGGAGGGTCAGGCAGTGGTGGTGCTGCTTTGCAAGGACAACAAGCCCAAGCTGTTGGCCTGGGTTTCCTGCAAGGAGGCCCTTTTCTTCTGAAGGAACTGCTTGAGCTTCTCCTGGAAGGAGGGGGCGGTGAGGGTATACAGGATGGGGTTCAGGGTGCTGTTAATGGGCAGGATGAAGACCACCACCCATGAGGTCACGGTGCCTGGTGTTTGGGGAGAGGGCAGACATCACATTATGTTGTAGTTATCACCCTGGTCTATAGATAATATCCAATGGCAGGTGTGAGTGGAGAGACAGAGAGAGAGAAAAGAGGACAGATGGATGACTGGATGGATGGATGGATAGATAGATATGCTGTAGAATCCTAAAGTTGGAAGAGAATCCAAGTCCAACCCTCTCCTGCAATCCAGGAAAACACCACCCAAGCCCTCCCGATAGATAGATAGATAGATAGTAGGGCTGGGCGGTTTTGTTTCGTTAATTCGTAATTCGTTAATAATTCGTTAATTTTTTCAATTACAAAACGATAACGAACCATTCTGGAGCAATTATTAAAAAAACGAATTTTCAAAAACGTTTTGTAAATGCTTCGTATTTCGATATTGTATTCGTTTCGTTATTGTTTTGAGGTCGTTTCGTTATTATTTCCGCATGTCCGGGCCAGTTTTATGGTTTAATTAGTGAAAAAAAATTATAATATCACACCAACAGTCAACAACAGAGGGAGAGGGAAGCTTCAGAAGGTTTTGGAGGTTTTTTAGCGTATTTCGCGGTCGCGTCCGCCATTAACGAATCGATTCGTTATTGTTTCGGAAATCGATTCGTTAAAATTTTCCCATTTATGAAATTTCGTAAATATCGAACTTTTTAAAAGGAAAATTTTGTAATTATTTTAAATATCGAAACAAAAAAACCCCCCAAATACAAATCGATTTTAGAAACAAATTTTTCCGTTGTTACCCAGGCCTAATAGATAGATAGATAGATAGATAGATAGATAGATAGATAGATAGATAGGACAAATAGATAGATAGATAGATATGACAAATAGATAGATAGATATGACAAATAGATAGATCCATTATGTGAGTGGAGATAGATGATAGATAGATAGATAGATAGATAGATAGATAGATAGAGGTAGATAGATAGATAGATAGATAGATAGATAGAGATATGAGATGAGACAAACAGTTGAATGGATGGATGGATGGATGGATGGATGGATAAATAGATGACAATTAGATAGACAGACAGACAAACTGAGATGATAGAGATGGGGAATGGATAAATAGGATCAATAGACATGATAGGTAGATAGACATGGATGGATGGATGGATGGATGGATAGATGACAGACAAGAGATGAGATGAGATGAGATGATAGAGATAATGGATCCAATATCAGATGTCAGTGGCAATAGATGATCGATAGATCGATTGATCAATAGATAGATGATAGATAGATAGACAAACAGACATGAGATGAGATGATAGACAAATAAAGATGATGGATGGATGGAAGGATGAATAGACAGATATGATTAAAAGAAACTATATATATATTCTCTCCAATGAATTTAATTGCGCATAATTGTTTTATGAATAGGTATGTCCCTGTTGCTAGAACAATGCTTAGAACTCCAACACACTGTTCTACCTTCTATTCCCCATTCTTTCCAACAAGACATATTTATTTCACTGCAGGCTACCAACTTTATTCATTGAATTATTTTCTTCCTTCCCATCCTGGGATATCTTTTTGGTAATGGTGGAAGAGCCATAGGGATTTTGCCGCACATCATGATGTCGTTTCCTGCATTTGAACAGTTGAAGCCCCTACCTGGGATCTCCACGTCCAGCAATGAAAGGAGCTTCAGGATGAAAATGGGGATCCAGCAGAGAGCGTTGGTGAAGACAATGAAGAAGAACCTCTTGGCCAGCGCCACCTCCATGGAGAGGACATTCTGCTTAGCCGCCTGGGCCGCTGTGGTGTGGATGGAGCGGAACATGCCGCTGTAGGCAAAGGTCACCAGGAGGAAGGCCGCCAAGTTCAGACCTGGCATGGAAGGGACGGAAGGGGAAATGAGGTGGCACCAGGTACTGTGGAGCACTCTTTGGAGGCTCCGGATTTGGCTCCTCAGGCCTCAAGTTAAGGGCAACAAAAGAGGAGAAGAGGAAATATAAAGTCTGGTTTACAAAACTAATAAAAAGCAAGCAGACGTAGTCATTTTAGGCACATAAAGAAATTGAAGAAGGAAGGAAGGATAAAAATACTGAAGGAAGGAAAGAGAACGGGAATGGAAGGAAGGATCAAAGGAAGGAGGGAAGGAAGGAAGGAAGGAAGGAAGGGAGGAAGGAAGGAAGGGAGGGAGGGAGGAAGGGAGGGAGGGAGGGAAGGGAAGGGAAGGAAGGCAGGCAGGCAGGCAGGCAGGCAGGCAGGCAGGAAAGAAGACTGGAAGGAAGGAAAAAAGAAAGGAAGACAGGAAGAAAAGAAGGGAGGAAGGATCAAAGGAAGGAAAGGACAGAAGACACGAAAGAAAGAAGGTAGGAAGGAAGGATCAAAGGAAGGAAGGAGGGACAGAAGACAGGAAGGAAGGAAAGAAGGAAGGAAGATAAGAAGAAAAGAAGGAAGGAAAGAAGGAAGGAAGATACGAAGAAAAGAAGGACCGATGGAAAGAAGGAATACAGGAAGGAAAGAAGCAAGGAAGACTCCAACAAGTTTGAGCTGAATAACAGATTGTCAAAACAACCAAATAATGAATAATCACAATGGTGAGTATGAATGTTAATGAATGTATGTGTAGCGAATGCTGAGTATACGTGATGTGTGTAATCAATATAGCTATTCTAAAACCATTACTGGGTCTGTGTGTACTTCTTTCTCTAAAAGTGCCTGATACACTATGTCCCACTGAAGATGGGCGAACTAAGGTTTTCAAGGTTCAAAAAGTATTGATGATGACTTTCCTTACCCAGGAATATCCCGGCGGAGTATCCCCGGGCGCCAGGGCTCTCGTTGGGGTGGGACTGGAGTGGGAAGCAGACCCCATTGCTGCCGTAGTAGACCCCGAAGGTCTCCTTGCAGGAGAAGGGCAGCAGGGTGAGAGAGAGGCCCAGGAGCCAGAGCAGGGCCAGGGAGAGGCGGGTGCGGCGCTCGCTGGCCCCGTAGCGGCCGAAGGGGAAGGCGATGCAGAGGTACTTCTCCAGGGTCATGTAGGTCAGGAGCAGGACAGAGACCTCGGCCGAGAGCACGGCCAGGCTGCCCACCAAATGGCAGGAGCGGCTGGACATCCAGGCCTGGGCGTGGCGGTTGTATTCTCCGGAGAACTTGAGGTCGAAGGCGCCCAGGAAGAAGAGGTAGGCACCCATCAGGCAGTCAGCACCTGTGGCACGGAGGAAGGAAGGAAGGAAGGAAGGAAGGAAGGAAGGAAGGAAGGAAGGAAAGAAGGAAGGAAGGAAGGGAGAACAACCTTGTTATTTGCCATGCAGAGTAGAGTTAGGGTTAGGGCAACCTCTATGAGAACAACTTAGGGTGTTAGGTAAGTTTAGCTTCCATAAGAGAAGAGTAAGAGATGATTTGATGGTTATCTTTAAATATCTGAAAGGATGCCACTTAAAGGATGGTGTGAGCTTGTTTTGGCTACTCCAGAGACTAGATTCCAGGGCTGTTTGGTAGCGTCCATGATGCTGTGGGAACTAGACTTGGGGTGTCCAAAGTGCTGATTTTCACTTGAGGAGACAGTTCAGCACCACAGAGAGCTCCCTTTCAATCCTGGCAACCACTGCAAAACATCTCACTTTCAGTTGATTCCATGCAAAGCAGGGCTATTTGGTAGTTTCCATGATGCTGGGTCAACTAGACTTGAACTGYCCAAGGTGCTGATTCTTACTTGAGGAGAGAGTTCAGCACCACGGAGAGCTCCCTTTCAATCCTGGCAACCACTGCAAAACATTTCACTTTCAGTTGATTCCATGCAAAGCAGGACTATTTGGTAGATTCCATGATGCTGGGGAACTAGACTTGAACTGTCCAAGGTGCTGATTCTCACTTGAGGAGAGATTTCAGCACCACGGAGAGCTCCCTTTCAAGCCTGGCCTCTGCTGCAAAACGTCCCTTTTTAAGTAAACACTGAAGAGCAGATTTCAAAAATCCACACTTTGCAATATACCACATGTACTCCAATCTAATGCTCACCTAAATGACCATACCAAAATTACATTAGCATCATACTGTCATCATAGTGCTGAGCCAAAGCCAAAGGAAAGTCGCTTTAGGAGATCCTCTTTGAGGGAACTCCCTTCTCATTTAATTGTATTGGCTCAATACTATTCCATCCTGGGATTTGCAGTTTGGTGATACATCTGCACCCTTTGACAGAGTAGGCTCAAGCCTTGTAAAACTACAACCCTACAATTCCATAGCATTGAACCAAGACAATTAAAGTGCATTAGATATACCCCAAGGTTTTCCTTTCCAACACTGGAAGCTTTGGTGCAATAACACTTTGGCTTTTAAGGAAGCAATCCTATGTAAATGTGCAGCAACTGTCATGCACACCTTTATTTTGGCCAAATCACAAGGAGCGCACTTTCCCCTGCTGCACATTTCATCCAGCAGCAAATCCTCTTTTTCCAGCTTCAGGATTTGAAAAACCAAGGTGTGTGTTAGATTCGTTGGTGCATGAGACTAGAGCCAATACTGGCAATAGAATACAGCAATGCACACCAGAAAGAGAGCGAGCCAAAGAGAAAGAGCCTGCGAGCATTTGTGTGCACCCTTTTTCCAATTCCTTCTCATGATTTTTGCAGAACGGCGTCAAGGAATGTGACCTCTCCATGACACCAAGATGGAGCCATGACTTACAGCAGAGGGACTTGATGGCCATGGTGTGCTTGCTGTGCTCCGTCACGATGAAGGACCGGGTGAAGATGACAAAGAGGTTCCCGAAGCAGGTGACAAAGGCAATGACCCAGACGGCGGCCCTGAGGACAGAACTGGCCAGCAGGTTCTCGAAGGAGGAGATCCCGTCTGTGTTGGGCTTGCAGCTGCGGACGTGCGGGGCAAAGCGGCAGGACCCGAAACGCAGGAAGTAGCTGCGGAGACAAGAACAAGCACTCATTCAGATCTAAAGTGAGTATATTTCAATTTTGTCAGTGGAGATAGGCAGTCATATTAATCTCCAGGTCTGTTCTCAAGATCCATGAGTCAGAAAATAATGTGAACACTCTCCAAGTTTGGTGAGTTCAGCAAGGGTCAAAAAGAAAACACTCTGTTATAATTTGCAAGGATTAGTTGATTTATTTAGCTTCCTCCTTCCCTTCCATTGCTTGTGGAGCCAGGACTCACCCTCCACTCTGCTTTGCATGTAGGTGCTTACCTACAAAGCCCTAAACGGTTTGGGACCCGCCTACCTGCGTGACTGCGTCTCCGTATATGAACCCACACGATCCCTCCGATCATCTGGAGAGGCCCTGCTCGCGATCCCTCCTGCGTCGCAAGTGCGTTTGGTGGGGACGAGGGACAGGGCCTTCTCTGTGGTAGCCCCCCAACTCTGGAACTCTCTCCCCAAGGACATCAGACAAGCCCCAACATTGGCAGTCTTTAGGAAGAGCTTGAAGACCTGGCTGTTCCAGTGTTCCTTCCCAGAATAGGAAACTCCTAGCATCATGTCCCAAACGCACTTTATTAGGGATTTAAGATTGCCTGCACATTGCACCTACCCTAAAATCCTTACATTTCACCTGTCATGCCCAGCACTTTTAACTTTATCCATTACATTTGGTCCGGCGCTAGTTTTAATGTGTTATGATGTATTGTTTTATTGTTTTACTGTTACTGCTTTAATGTTTATTGGTTTGCTTTATGAGTTTTATTGTTTGTATTTGTTTGCTGTTGTTTTATTGAGGGCCTTGGCCTTTGTAAGCCCCACCGAGTCCTTCGGGAGATGTTAGCGGGGTACAAATAAAGTTAATAAATAAATAAATAATAATAATAATAATAATAATAATAATAATAATAATAATAATAATAATAATAATAATTTACCTTCTGGCTAGAAGAAAACAATGAAATGTATCTTATTATTAAGTGATTTGTGGCTGCAATTTGCAAAGAGTAGGGACTGTGTGTGCAAGGGTGTGTTTCCATGTTCGCTTATTTAGCTTCCCTTCCATTGTTTGTGGAGCCAGGACTCACCCTCCACTCTGCTTTGTATTTATCTTCTAGCTAGAAGCAAACAAAGTCAGTGAAATTTATCTTATTATTAACTGATGTGTTGCTACAACTGTGCTTTGTGTGTAACTTAGCTCACTTCCTCCTTCCCCTCCATTGCTTGTGGAGCCAGGACTTGCCCTCCACTCTGCTTTGCATTTACCTTCTGGCTAGAAGCAAACAGACTAAATCAAAACAAATCTTATTATTAATTGATTTGTTGCTGCAACTTGCAAAGAGTTTAACTTAGTTAGCTTCCTCCTTCCATTCCATTGTTTGTGGAGCCAGGACTCTCCCTCCACTCTGCTTTGCATTTACCTTTTCGCTAAAAGCAAACAGATTAACTGTTTCTCACGCCAGCTTCCCAAGTAAGCAAACAATCCCCTAAATTCACACTGATTTACAAACATGAACATGGGTTTCTCCCGTTTCCTAACCATTCCTTTGTATGGAAAAATGGCTCACATGTGGGAGAGGTTGGTGAGCTGCTCAAACATGCGGTTCTGGATGTTGGGGATCTCCATTCCTTCCAGGCTCCTGTTAAGGAGAAGAAAAGGCAACATGAATGAGAGATAGGAATGTGGGAGAGTGTGGAAATGACAGGCATGAATGGCATGAATGGGAGGAACAAGAAGGCTGGCATATTTGCACCCTCCTCTCCTCTTCCCCAATGAGTTAATTAATTAAATGCAAATGACTTGAAGTAAGTTGAGGGAAAATGAAGTAAGTTGAGGGAAAAGGGGAAGCAAGAGGGAGAAAATCAGTAGATGTGTGAATCTTTCTGAAACTTGGCAGTAATGATGCCCAGTGGGCATGGTAAGGTTCGGTCGAAATCTTCGTAATTCGGAATAAATTCAGAAAGATTTGCTTTTTGAAGCGATTTCAAAGTTGTTAAGGAAACTGGAAGTCACTTTGCCCTTATTTATTTATTTATTTATTTATTTATTTCGGGCATTTCTACTCCGCCCTTCTCACCCGCTAGCGGGGACTCAGGGCGGCTTACATCCGGCTCAATTTGATGCCAACAATTACAATAAAATGTAATAACAATAACACAATAGTTAAAAACATGCAATTAATACAAAATCAACTAAAACCGCTCTATAGCCCACGTTCATCGAGTTCTAAAATCCATCAATCCATTTAGCATTTCCATAGTCCTTTCCAACTCTAGTCATCATTACCTTTTTGATCTGCCTGGGCCCATATCCATGTCTTCAGCTTCCTTCTAAAGGAGAGGAGGGATGTTGATGACCTGATTTCCCCGGGGAGTGAATTCCACAGGCGAGGGGCCACCACTGAGAAGGCCCTGTCCCTCGTCCCCACCAGCCTCACTTGTGATAAAGGTGGTGCTGAGAGCAGGGCCTCCCCAGAAGATCTTAAACACCGAGGTGGGACATAGAAGGAGATACGTTTGGACAGGTACGCCCTTCTGAAGATTTTTCTGCCATTTCTGTTATGAAGCAGTAAGTGATTCAGAAATAATTCAACTTTTTCCCTGCTTCTAGTCCCTGGCCTCAGCTCAAGCCAGAGAAGCTGTTTTAAACCAGAGTGGATGAATTTCCTCCCTTTGTCCCTCCCCCCCCCCCTGCTTCTGGAATAAAACAACTACTTTCAATGAAACAGGAAATAACACTTTCAAACAATTAAGGAAGGATTCAGAAGTCTCGGAAGTTTCAAAAAGTTTTGAACATTTTTTTCTGTGAAAATTGGAATTGCCTTTAGAATCGAACCACCAGCACCTCCTACCTCCGAAACGAATTTTGAACCATTTTTTTTTATCAAACAAGCCTAATGCCCAGGTTGTCTTGTGTCATTGTAGACAAAATCAAGCAGATCACACTTGTAGGTTTTCCTTTCAAAAATGTTGTTTGTAAAAATGTCAAAAATTCCCCAAAAATCAGTGGATGGGTGAAATGTTCTGAAACTTGATGGGCTAACAGTGGTAAATGTGTTCTATAATCGTACCAAGGTTCATACTGATAGCTCTAACAATAAGGGAGATAGGCACCTCTGAAGTTTTCCCATTGGCACAATTAATTACTTAACAAAATGTAACAAAAACATTGTTAGCGCATTATAGTTAAGATGCAGACCCCATCCAATTTCAGAAACACTTTAGAAACAATTTCCCCCCTGATTTTGTAATGAGAATTGAAACATTTTTCATTGTTTTCAGTTTTTACAGACAACATTAAAAAGAACTAGAATAGTGATCTCTTTGAATTTTCCATACAATGACACAAGACAACAGGGAATCATTCTCCGCAAGTTTCAGAAAGATTCACACATCTACTGATTTTGGGAATTTAAAAAGTTTTGACAAAACCTTTTTTTTAAAAAAAAAAAAAATGCCACAACAGCTATCTATCCCCTTGGATGTCTCCATGCCTTAATTTGCTAAAAGCTGCACATCGCAAGTGCTGAACCTGACTCAGCGCATAGAAGATGGCTTTGAAAGGCACCAGATCACAGGAGCTGTCTTCATAGACCTGTCAGCAGCCTATGAGACTGTGAACCACCACTGCCTCCTCCTGAGAAAAATGTCTAATACCACAAACGACGACCACCTCACCCACCTCATAGGAAACCTGCTACAAAACAGGAGCTTTTTTGTTTTGTTCCAGGGCCAGAGAAGCAGATGGCGGAAACAGAAGAACGGCCTGCCTCAGGGGAGCGTGCTTGCTCCATCCATGTTCAACATCTACACACATGACCAGCCACGGCCAGAAGGGACAGAGAGCTTCATCTATGCTGATGACCGTGCCATCACCACCCAAACAGGGAGCTTTGAGATGGTTGAACAGAAGCTCTCTGAAGCTCTAGGTGCTCTTACTGCCTATTACAGGGAAAACCAGCTGATCCCTAATCCATCTAAAACACAGACATGTGCTTTTCATCTTAAGAACAGACAAGCATCCCAAGCTATGAGGATTATTACCTGGGAAGGAATCCCACTGGAGCATTGCAGCGCAACCAAATCCCTGGGAGTCACTCTGGTCTGTGCTCTGAGCTACAAGAAGCACTGCCTGAACATCAAGCAAAAAGTGGGCACTAGAAACAATATAATAAAAAAGCTGACTGGCACAACCTGGGGATCACAACCAGACACAGTGAAGACATCTGCCCTTGCGCTGTGCTACTCTGCTGCTGAGTACGCATGCCCAGGGTGGAACACATCTCACTACGCTAAAAGAGTGGATGTGGCTCTTAATGAGAAATGCCACATTATCACGGGGTGCCTGCGCCCTACACCACTGGAGAAACTATACTGCTTAGCCGGTATTGCACCACCTGACATTCGCCGGGAAGTAGTAGCCAATAGTGAAAGGACCAAGGCAGTGACATCTCCAGCTCATCCCCTGTTTGGGTATCAGCCAGCATGCCAATGACTTAAATCAAGAAATAGTTTTTGGAGATCTACAGAGACACTCGCTGGAACACCTCAGCAAGCGAGAGTCCAAAAGTGGCAGGCTCAAACCCAGAACCTCAATCCATGGCTAATACCCAATGAGAGACTCTCTCCTGGGCACACAGAAGATGGGGCGACTTGGAAGGCGCTGAACAGACTGCGCTCTGGCACCACGAGATCCAGAGCCAACCTTGAGAAATGGGGCCACAAAGTGGAGTCCACAACATGCGAGTGCGGAGAAGAGCAAACCACTGACCACCTGCTGCAATGCAACCTGAGCCCTGTCACATGATGCACCAGGGAGGACCTCCTTGCGGCAACACCAGAGGCACTCCAAGGGGACAGATACTGGTCAAAAGACATTTAATAGATTACCAAGCTTGCAAACTTTGTGTTTTGTCTGTTTGTTTGTTTTGTTAAAAATGTAATACAACTGTCTGGTTGCTCCTGACACGATAAATAAATAAATTTGCTAAACTCACAGAGAACGCAGTTGGGGCACATGGTCAAATTCATCAGGATAAATCCGGAGCAAAGGGTTGTTTGAGAGGTTCCTGCAAAAGCCAGAAAGAACCAGGAAAAAGTAACAAACACCCCTAATGTCATCACAAATTTCATCAATCAGAACTTTGCTATGAATGCAGACCTCTTTTGACCTTTTGCAGTAATTGAAGTAAGTTCAGGAAAAGGAGGGAAGCGGGAGAAAGGAAACAGGACATTTTACAAGAAGCTGAGAAAGTGGGATGGTAGAGGATGAATTGAATACGACCCTGATTCCCTCCCTAGTCTCAAAGCGGATTGTTGCATTTAGATTCGGCTCCCTAAACAAAGGGTTGAATAGTAAGTCAACACAGAGGTATATCCCATTGACTCCAGGTCTTTCCTCTACTTAGGGCTCCTTTTGATAGAAAATCTTCAAGCAATTAAGATATCCAAGAGAAGAAATAGTCAAAAGGTTGGAAAAGCAAAAGATACACTTGGTTTCATTACCATGCAGTGAGACCTTTGGTATTCTATCAAAGACATCCTTGATATCAAATGGCAAAACCAATAATTTGCAGAAAAAAATTGGAATATTTTCACACAGTGGATAATGGAACCCATGGATGCAGAATCCGTGGATACAGGGGGCAAACATGTTGTATCCCGGCCATGAGCCACAAAGAAAAGAAGGCCAAAAATATTATTATTATTATTATTATTATTATTATTATTATTATTATTTACAATTTACAACTACAATTTGCAATTAATTATTAATTACAATTAATTTACAATTTATAATTGGAATTTTCAGGAAAAAAATGAATATTTTCACACAGTGGATAATGGAACCCATGGATGCAGAATCTGTGGATACAGGGGGCAAACATGTTGTATCCCGGCCACGAGCCACAAAGAAAAGAAGGCCAAAAATATTATTATTATTATTATTATTATTATTATTATTATTATTAAATTTACAATCAATTATTATTTACAATTCATTAATTACAATTAATTATTAATTACAATTAATTTACAATTACAATTTGCAGAAAAAATTGGAATATTTTCCCATAGTGGATGATGGAACCCATGGATGCAGAATCCGTGGATACAGGGGGCAAACATGTTGTATTATTATTATTTACAATTTAATTTACAATCAATTATTATATACAATTAATTAATTACAATTAATTATTAATTACAATTAATTAACAATTACAATTTGCAGAAAAAATTGGAATATTTTCACACGTGGATAACGGAAGCCATGGATGCAGAATCCATGGATACAGGGGCAAACATATTGTACCTCGCCATGATCCACAAAGAAAAGCAGGCAATAAATTTATTAATTATTATTATTAATTATTATTATTATTATTATTTCTCACACCAATTTTGTTTTCACACAGTGGATAATGGAACCCATGGATGCAGAATCCATGGATACAGGGGTAAACATATTGTACCTCGCCATGATCCACAAAGACAAGTAGGCAATAATTTATTATTATTATTATTATTATTATTATTATTATTATTATTATTATTATTTCTCACACCAATTTTGTTTAAAGACTTCTAATAATTTTGCTAAGGACATACATACAATTGCTGCAATTCTTGAAGGCCCCTGAAAGAGGAAGGGAGAAGTTCCTTCAGCTGATTGGATGACAAGTCACTGTTGGAAGAGAAAAAAAATAATACCATTTGAGATTGAAATAGCTAAGGTGCTCCATCGAAGTATCAATTCATTAATACTTCATTAATACTGCATTCATGCTGCATTCATGCAGGGTCTCCAGTGTGTCTCAATCATTGAATTCCAGACTAGGTAGCCCTTTGGTCTGATTTCCTCATGCCTTTTTGAGACAATGGAAGGAGGTAATAGTTCCTCGGGCAACCATGTGGTTCAACCTGAACCAAATGTTCTGGAAATCATGGATTTAAGGAAAGGAATGGAAAGAATGCATGCAGGAAGGGATCGAACCAAGGAAAAACGCACAGTTCCACCAGCTTCTTCAGCTCAGAAAATGCCCCGTCTTGGATCCGTTCAATCTTATTCCTGTTCAGAACCCTGGAGAATTAGGAAGAATTAAGACAAATGTTTATCCTTTTTGCATTGACAGTTCAGTCCTTCTTCTCTCTCTCTACTTTAGATAAAAAAGTGACTTAAAGTACCAAAATCACAGACAGACATGTCAGGTAGAAAATTCTATATTAGGTTGAAATATAATGCCTGTAACTCCATAGTGTTAAAAATACAGTTCTAATGGACATGTGGTCATAGCACATTCCACTGAAAAGGGTCAAGAGAGTGGAGATGTGGGCCTAGAGGAACTCCTGAGCCATGATCGTATGACAGGCATGACAAGAATGGCATCATTTCCTGTGGATATCTAAGGATGTTGGAAGACATTTGCAGATTCTCTTTGCAACAATGTTCTTTGCCATCCTTGCCATCTGGAACCCATTGAATCTGTGACTCGTTGCCATCTTGCCACATGCATGTCTTGCAACTGTCACTTTGCTATGGTTGTGAATATATCTCTGTATATACTGATAGAAGACCTGTAAATAGCTGTATATAGAGCAATGACTGTATTTTAATATTTTTTAATAGAAATATGTTTTTATACGTGTATTGTTTGGATTATGTGTTTTGATTATGAGTTTTAGTAAGATTGTAATTGGCCCTCAAACCATGAGGAGAGGTGGGTAAGAATTATTATTATTATTATTATTATTATTATTATTATTATTATTATCCCACTTTATCTCTCCTAAAGGAGACTCAAAGTGCATACAATTTAAAATATACCAATACGCAAATATTAAAACATGATTAAATATAAACAGTATTTTTAAAATTCCCAATTAAAAACCATAAAAACATGTTCAAAGATGAAAAAGCACAGCAGCAATAATAATAATAATAATAATAATAATAATAATAATAATAATAATAATAATACCCAGGGCAATATCTGCCAAAAACCATGACCTTGGTCTTGGAGTAATTTATTGACAGATATTCCTTTTGGAAGTAGATACTGAAAGCCTTCAAAAGAGTTTAAAGACCCAATCGAGAGGGGGAGATGAGGACTAGATCATCTGCGTACATCAGGATGAAAATCTTTCTGTTCCTTATTATTGGTGAAGGGGAGTCCATTTTAGATAAACAAGGCACTGACTAAACCACTCACACAGATGTTTAAAAGAGTGGGGGGGGGGGACGGGCCTGTAAGCATCCATGTAAACTTCCCGTGTTATTGTAAAACCATTTCTGCCCACTCTGACCCTCATTTCTGTGTTAGTGTATAATTCTTGTATCAATCTTAATAGTCTGTGATTAATTTCAGAATTCTGTCCCTTTCCCCATAAACACTCTCTAATCCACTCAAGATTTAAGTTTTATGGAAAAAAGAAAAAAAAGGGGTGTGATGAAAAGGGGGAGACATTGCCCAGTCCACATGGAACAGCTGTATCTTCCCCATAAAATCATTGGGTATCCAATGTGCATGGCATGGTGGTGGTTATTTTTCCCTATTACACCAGTGTTTACGTTTCCATGGTGTCGACACAGCCTAGTCCTTAGAATTGTCTTCCCAATCCATGCCAAAGGCACTCGTCTTTAAGGCATGTGTCACACTGATGGGAAAAAACCTGGCTCTTTCGATGTGCCTTTGGAGAGGGACCATATATTTCTTTCCTGTTGTCTCCACCATAATGTGTCCTCATATTGCACTCCCCCCATTTTTTTGGAAGGCCTGTTTGCACTGTACCATCCCCACGAGTTTTTCATATATATATATATATATATATATATATATATATATATATAGTCATTCCTATCTCATCCAGCATTTTATGTCTACATTGGCCTTCCTCTGTCGGTGATCCGGAAGCTCAAGTTGGTACAAAATGCAGCTGCTCGGCTTCTTGCGGGAACTCCGATGAGATGCCACATCACCCCAATCTTCCTGCAGCTGCATTGGTTACCAATTGAGTGATGGTTCTCACCTTTAAGGCCTTGCATGGTCTGGGGCCGGTGCACCTGAGGGACCGCCTCACCCCCCCCCCCAACCCCAGAGATCCCTCCGTTCTGAGGACCAAGATCTATTGGAAGTCCCCAGTGTCAAGGTCTTGCGTCTAACAGCAACCAGACGCAGAGCCTTCACAGCAGTGGCACCATCACTCTGGAATACTCTGCCACCTGAAGTCCGTGCCTTGCGGGACTTACCAGCTTTCTGCAGGGCATGGAAGACAGACCTGTTTCGACAGGCTTTTAATGTTTGATATTGCTGTTTTAAATTGTTTTAAATTGCTTTTAAATTGTGTTAGATTTCAGCCATTCTTGTAAGCCGCTCTGAGCCCCAGGGGAGTGGCCACATAGAAGTTTGAATTATAAATAAATAAATAATAAACTATTTTCAAAGTAAATGGAACAGGAAATAACACTTTCAAAACATTAAGGAAGGATTCAGAAGTCTCAGAAGTTTCGAAAAGTTTTGAACATTTTTTTTCTGTGAAAATGGGAATTGACTTCCGAATCGAACCACCAGCGCCTCCTGGATCCGAAACGAATTTTGAACCATTTTAAAAATCAAACATGCCTACTTCTGCCCTAGTCTCCCATTGACCCCATGCATTTTGTAGGGTTTTCGTAGGCAAGGAAGACTTGACTGTTCCTTGACTGTTCCTTCCTCCGTCTCTGCTTTCTCATTGATGCTCTCTAACTCTGAAGAAAGGGAGGAAGCAGAACAAAACTTGTCTTGTTCTGATATGTCTTGGAATGAGAACACCAAAACAAAACAACTCTTTGCTAGGAAGAACATGTTGCAACCGGTGATGGGCAATGCCATAAAATAGTCCGGGACAATGCCAGCGTCATTGGGATATGTTTAAAGAAATCCCAGGAACTCAGCCTCCCGACCGCCCTGAGTTAATCTTTGGCTAGGAGCTCCCTTTGCACGCCCAGATTATGCGACAATTATGGGATGCGTTCCAGAGCTACATTCCCATGAAGTTGGGTAATAATAATCCCTTTTGAACTTTTTCAGAGAGAAGGGCCAGCTGAATTACGCATTCCGCGCCTGCCTTTCCCGTTCTCGCTCCTCGGACAATTTGTAGCTTGTGTATATATATGACAACACACACAGTACACACACAAGTGTATTGAATTCTCTCCAAGGGGAGACATAACCGTCATTTTCGACATACTCAAGGCTTTTGCAGACCTCAAGGAGAGACTCTTGGCTCCTTCTCGAGATGAAGTTTCAAAGCAAGAGTCGTAAAGAAGGCAGTGAGAAAACTCTCATGAGCAGGAATAGCATCATGGAGAAAAAATGCAGACAAAGGCCATAAAGATGCTTATAGCCGGTCATTTCTGACATCTGGAGATCAAGGAGAGGTCCATGGGGTTGGAGATCAGCTAGATGCCTTCACCAAGTAGCCCATGGAGAGAAAATGCAGACAAAGGCCATAAAGATACTTATAGCCGGTCATTTCTGACATCTGGAGATCAAGGAGAGGTCCATGGGGTTGGAGATCAGCTAGATGCCTTCACCAAGTAGCCCATCTCCTATCCTGTGGACCTCTCATTGACCTCCACATAGAAGAAACAAGCAGAAGCAAACAGAATCTATATAACCCAGCATAAGGTAAACTTTTATCCCCTGAAAGGGAACTGTTTTGGTTGTTTGCTAGAAGATGGTGAAGATGGTGGTTGTGATGCTCCATAGCCATATAAAGACTCAGTCTTGTAGACTTTGCAATGTGCTCCACACAGAAGAAATCAGATCCTATATTTCCCAGACTGAGATCCTATATTTCCAAGCACAAGTTAATCCTCCTTTTGTGGTTGGTATAGAGGAAAGTGATGGTGGTTGTGATCCTCCATAGCCATATAGAAACCCAAAATTGTAGACCTTGCATTGTACTCCATACCAAAGAAACCAGATCTTATATTTCCCAGCACAAGGGTTTATCCCACCTAATGAACCTCTTTTGCTTAGGAGAGCTCTTCCCAAGGTGAGATTCTATATTTCTAAGCACAAGGTAAACGTTTACCCCCCCCCCCAACAGGACCGGCCCTAGGTAATTTTCAATGGTAAGCAAACAATATTTTGGTGCCCCCCCCCCAACCATTCACTGATATATATTTTCTGTTGGTCATGGGAGCTCTGTGTGCCATATTTGGTTCAATTCCATGATTGATGGAGTTCAGAATGTTCTTTGATTGTAGGTGAACTATACATCCCAGTAACTACAACTCGCATATGTCAAGGTCTATTTTTCCCCAAGAGCGCCTCAAGAGCGCCCCTGGGAAAATCAACTATACCGCAAATGCTTACTTTGCGTAATGGGTTGAGCCGCCCCTGCCCCCCAAATGGACCTCTTATGTTTGATAGAGAGCCAGAAGATAGTTGTTGCAATGCTTCATAGTCATATAGAGACTCAACCTTGTAGACGTCCCATTGAACTCCACAGAGAAGAAACCAGATCATGTATTTCCCAGACTCAGATCCTATATTTCTGAGCACATTTTTCCTGGTTACAAGGAAGAGGAAGAGGAAGGAGAAACACACTCACAAAACAGTGATCTCGCCACAACCCTGGAAGTCCGAACGTTGCAGAGAACGGATGTGGTTTCCTTCAAGATCCCTGAAGGAAAATGGAGACTGGAGTCATGTCACATCCCTTCTTCCTAACCCTAAAACCTGTGGAGCTGAGTCCTAGCAATGCATTATTATCATTATTATTATTATTATTATTATTATTATTATTATTATTAGTATTATTATTAGTAGTAGTAGTAGTAATAATAATAATAATGCATTGCCAGGACTCAGTAGTAGTAGTAGTAGTAGTAGTAGTAGTAGTAGTAGTACTAGTAGTAAAGGTATACCCCTGACATTAAGTCCAGTCGTGTCTAACTCTGGGGTTGGCGCTCATCTCCATTTCTAAGTTGGAGAGCCGGCCTTGTCCGTAGACACCTCCAAGGTCATGTGGCCACTGGCAGGACTGCACGGAGAGTGGTACCTATTGATCTACTCACATTTGTATGTTTTTGAACTGCTAGGTTGGTAGAAGCTAGGGCTAACAGCGGGAGCTTACCCCACTCCCCAGATTTGAACCTGCGACCTTTCGGTCAGCAGATTCAGTAGCTCAGCGCTTTAACCCATTATGCCACTGGCAGTTATTATTATTACTTTCTTTATTTCTACCCTACTTTTCTCCCCACGGACACTCAAGGTGGCTTACATTAACATTATTTTATAGAAATATGTATTAATGTGTTTATTTTATAGAATATAAAACTGCAGTGATGATGATGATGATGATGATGATGATAATAATAATAATAATGCACTGGGATGCATTTACTTCTTTCACTGAAATAAAAATATAGAAAGTGTTCTCTCTGTAGAGTAAAACAAGTAGTATTTATGTGCATGTTTTGATAAGTTTCCACATTTGGTAAAACTTTTGAGACTCTTGGGAGAGAAAGGGTTATAAATAAAGTATTATTATTATTACTATTATTATTACTATTATTATTATTATTATTATTATTATTATTATTATGTGAAAATTGCAAAAAAATAGGGGATTTTTTTTTGCAGAAAAAAACTACTTATTTCACACCTTTTTGAGCAAATTGTATGTAATTTGGCTCAAAAAAATATCAAAGCACTCTCTTTTATGGAATTTTCCACAAAGTGTGTGGTTATGCTAGGATGCAGAACAATGACTTCAAACTACAAGAGAGGAGATTCCATCTGAACACGAGGAAGAACTTCCTGACTGTGAGAGCCGTTCAGCAGTGGAACTCTCTGCCCCGGAGTGTGGTGGAGGCTCCTTCTTTGGAAGCTTTTAAACAGAGGCTGGATGGCCATCTGCCAGGGGTGATTTGAATGCAATATTCCTGCTTCTTGGCAGAATGGGGTTGGACTGGATGATAGCCCATCAGGTCTCTTCCAACTCTTTGATTCTAGGATTCTATGATTCTATGTGAACAAAGACAATTTTACTATCTCAATGAGGTAATTGATACTCCCCTTATAATGCAAATAACAGTGAAATTTTATCATCCCCTAGTAATGAATAGATTTCCAGAAAAATAATTATTTATTCAATCATAATTAATAATTAATAAATTAATAATTGATAATATAATTATAATACTAAATTATTTAAGTAATCGTTAATCTAATAATAATAATCATTATCATCATCAGAGGAACAATTATTTGCATGAGGCTATGAATTGCAACTTGAAGAAATGCAGAAAACCCTTGATGAAGGAATGCAAGCAAGAGTGACATAGCCTTGTTTGCACTCCTTCATCAAGGGTTTTTTGCATTTCTTCAAGTTGCAATTAAGGCATTAAAGAAAGGATAAGGAGAGGAATGTTTTTGCAACATCAATAAATGCAACAAGAGGGAGAAACTTACAGCCAATTGAGCTTTGGTGTCTCTGTACAGATGGAAGCCCCGGGCATTTCTTGCAAAAAGTTGCCACGAAGATCTCTGGAGGGAAACACAAAGCAAGAAGCAAATTGCCCTATAAGGATCGCAAACAGAGGATAATGAAATCGTAACAACAACAACAACAACAACAACAACAACAACAAGGGTCTGGTTTAATACTCACAGAAACACCAGAGATTTCAGTCCCATAAATACAGATGGAAGGATCCGAGTCATTCTGTTGTGGTCCAGGATGCTAAATGGCAAAGAAGACATGTCACAAGAGGCCATTAAAGATGTACCGAACTTTTCATGCTAGTGAATATTTACTATTTTCCATGGCCAAAGAGTGCTTTTGCATTGCAAACACCTCTCTCCACCTTACTCTCCCACTGAATGGAAATGCCAGATAGAAAAATGGCGGGTTTTTACCACTGCTTTTTGTTGCTTTGATACCGCTATAAATAAGCAAACATGAACTTACAGCCATTTGAGGTTTTGCAAATCCCGGAAGACGCCCAACTGCAGATCTGTGATGGAGTTAGAGCTCAGATACCTGAAAGGAACAAAGAAAGAGGGAATTATTATTATTATTATTATTATTATTATTATTATTATTATTATTATTATATAGGCAAGGGGCTTGATGAATGCAAGGCTGGGGTGAAAATTGCTGGAAGAAACATTAACAACCTCAGATATGCAGATGACACCACTCTGATGGCCGAAAGCGAGGAGGAGCTGAGGAGCCTTCTAATCAAGGTGGAAGAAGAAAGCGCAAAAGCCGGGTTGCAGCTAAACATCAAAAAAACCAAGATTATGGCAACAAGAATGATTGACAACTGGAAAATAGAGGGAGAAAATGTGGAGGCCGTGACAGATTTTGTATTTCTAGGCGCAAAGATTACTGCAGATGCAGACTGTGGCCAGGAAATCAGAAGACGCTTACTTCTTGGGAGGAGAGCAATGTCCAGTCTCGATAAAATAGTGAAGAGTAGAGACATCAGACTGGCAACCAAGATCCATTGCCTAGTCAAAGCCATGGTCTTCCCTGTAGTCACCTACGGATGTGAGACCTGGACCTGAGGGAAGGCTGAGCGAAGGGAGAGAGATGCTTTTGAGCTGTGGTGTTGGAGGAAAGTTCTGAGAGTGCCTTGGACTGCGAGAAGATCCAACCAGTCCATCCTCCAGGAAATAAAGCCCGACTGCTCACTGGAGGGAAGGAGACTAGAGACAAAGTTGAAGTACTTTGGCCACATCATGAGGAGACAGAGAAGCTTAGAGAAGACAATTATGCTGGGAAAAGTGGAAGGAAAAAGGAAGAGGGGCCGACCAAGGGCAAGATGGATGGATGGCATCCTTGAAGTGACTGGACTGACCTTGAAGGAGCTTGGGGTGGTGACGGCCAACAGGGAGCTCTGGCGTGGGCTGGTCCATGAGGTCACGAAGAGTTGGAGACGACTGAACGAATGAACAACAACAACAGGCAAGGGGTAGGTTTGCTCTTGGCAAAGCTTTGGACTCTTCCTATATGCCAAAAGCATAGTGAAGATGAATGCATCCTTACAACAGTTGACTGATTTGAAAAAGTGGAAGTAGATAAGAAAGTCAAGGATATGATCTTATGGAATCAATACTAGGTTCATGCAGGCCCGTAGCCAGGATTTCGATTCGGGGGGGGGGGGGGGCTGAGTCTGAGTGAAAGAGGGCCTACCCTAGCAAACCTTTTGTATCATTACCTCAATACCCCCATGCATATGGGACATATTGAGTATGGTGATCAGATCATGATATCAATAAACATAACAGTTTAAATAATGCACCAGTAAGGCCTTTTCGAGGACCACCATGAGAATTTCGGGGGGGGGGGGCTGAAGCCCCTCAAGCCCCCCCCCTGGCAACATGCCTGGGTTCATGGAAGGCAACGGATAAGGAATAGAGCCTATGGAGCCTAATATGACCAGTAGTAGATGGAAGGTATGCTACTAATTACACCATGTTTTTTGTTTCTGGGCGAATTGTCATAGCCCCAAACTCCACTCTACCTATGTTCCCTTATTCTTATATGCAGATGATGCTGTGCTATTGTCCTTATCTAGTATTGGCCTTAAAGGTTTAATGCCTTGCTTTGACAATTATTGCGTGTTCCTGGGTTCTCAATGTGATTTCCAAATTGGTTCTATCCTCATTCTTATATGCAGATGATGCTGTGCTATTGTCCTTATCTAGTATTGGCCTTAAAGGTTTAATGCCTTGCTCTGACAATTATTGCGTGTTCCTGGGTTCTCAATGTGATTTCCAAATTGGTTCTATCCTCATTCTTATATGCAGATCATGCTGTGCTATTGTCCTTATCTAGTATTGGCCTTAAAGGCTTAATGCCTTGCTTTGCCAATTACTGTGTCATTTCCTAATTGGTTCTATCCTCATTCTTATATGCAGATGATGCTGTGCTATTGTCCTTATCTAGTATTGGCCTTAAAGGTTAAATGCCTTGCTTTGCCAATTACTGTGCGTTCCTTGGTTTATTAAAAAAAAGTTTATTAAAGTGCAAAAATGTATCCTGCTATAGCACATTTTCCCATTTCAACATGGAAAACATCCTACTCACAGTCTCTGGAGTTTGGAGAGTCCAGAAAATGTGGTCTTGGATATCGTCTGGATCCCATTGTCTTTTAAGAAGCTGTTTGGAAAGAAGATTTCAGATACATTCTTCATCTGAACTAAGGCCTCTTCTGTAGATCCAATATATTATTAGCGGTCACTATATATCACTATCTACTCCCTCATTTTCCTCACATGAACATCAAGCCTTGGAAAGTTTCAGTACTAAAAAGTATTTTTGGGGGAGAGAAACAATCTACTCATTTATTACAGATCTCGCTGAGGTCTACAATACCACTTACCTTTCCCCACTAAAGGGCCTTGTAATCCAAACTGGGAATCTGGGGCAATGGACTGGGGGGAACTGGTGCTGAGATGCTTCCACACAACCCTTTTTAATGTAATGCAATGGGAATTTAAAAATCTACATCTGTCACATCTATTGTGAAAAATGTGTTGCTTGTGCATCCATCGCAGACCAGTTCCTTTAAGGTCAGAAGGCCAACTGATCTGCTCCAGGGTTTTAGTCTGAACTTTAAATGTTTTGATACAGTATGTGCTTTTATGGAAGACATTTTAGTATTATGATGTATTTTAATGATGCTGTGCCCCATCTCTCACCATAAGGAAAGGCAGGTAATAAATAAATCATCATAATCATCATCATCATCGTCGTCGTCGTCGTCGTTGTCATCATCATCATTGTGACTGTCATTGTTCCTATTATATCATCAATATTATTATTACTATCATCAACATCATTGTTATTTATATTATTATCATCAATATTGTTGTTCTTATTATTACTATTATCATTTTCATTACTATTGTCATTGCAGTGGTTATTATCAATATTGATAGTATTATTATTACTCTTATCATCATCACCACCACCACCATCATCATTGTTGTTGTCATAGTTATTGTTGTTATTATAATAATAATCTAAATTATTATTACTATTATTATTATTATTATTATTATTATTATTATTATTATTATTATTGAGCTATCCAAGGTGCTGAACCTATTTTGGAGGCACAAAGTTTGGATTCATTGCTCTATGAAGACCTTTTCTCCTACTTCCTCTTAAAGGGAATCGTAAGCCTTCCCTTGGCATCAAAATCCACTCTGTAGTTCATTCCTTAATAGAAACCAAAAGCACCTGAATGCACAGGAAAAGGGAAGATTTCCTACTTACAGGTATTCCAGTCCTTTATTGGCAACGAACTGGTAGTCCAGCAAGGAAGAGATTTTATTTTGATTCAGATCCCTACGAGAGAAAGCATAAAAGGAAAAGAATGAGAGCAGGAGAGGAACAGGCTTTCTTCTGCCATAGATGTAGGCGAAATGTCAGGAGAGAATGCTTCAGGAACATGGCTATACAGCTTGAAAAACTTACAGTAACCCAGTGATTCCAGCCATGAAAGCTTTTGACAATACATAGAACAAGCTTTGTTTTGCAAGTTGCATAGAAACACATCCTCCATGAAAGAGTTTTGGAAGGTCAGCATTGCTTTGCTTAAACACAAGACCCATCATCAGTCTCTTGGCACTTTGATCATCTTTGTTGAATCCCAATTTCAGACAACTGCAAATGTCACAATGGTTCAATCTAAAACCTTTCCCTTAAACACATTACCTTTTCTCTTTGTGTACCCAACAGATTTGGCACTAGGTGGCATCCTCTCCTTATTGATGGTTGGCTTATGGAGTAAACTATAGTTTGCACTACTTCGGAGCAAGAGACTGGCAAGACTACTTTGCAGAAGAAAACCTTACAAAACTCATAGGATCACCATACATAGATGAGTTACTTGCAGTTGCAAACACAAACATTGGGGCCCAAATAAACACCAAATTGTGTCTGGAGGATAAGCAGTGCCAGTCCTTGTTAGTGCTTGGATGAGAATCCCAGGAAAGAAGGAACTGGCAAAACTATAAGGATTCCATGCCCAAGAAGACCCTACAAAATCCATGGGGTCTCATACATTGATAAGTTATGTAAATGCACATGCAAAACACATATGAATGTAGTCCTGTGCTACTCACAGCTCCGTCACATTGGATAAACCTTGAGGAATGGCATGGAAGTCTTGAGCTTGGCAACGCAGGGCCGTCCTGGAGCAAACACATCCCTCTGGATACCAACCAAGCGCTGAGAACAAAGATGGAAGAAATAGGTCAAAACCACTGGAAAATCTGCTACTTCCCACCTTCCCAACAAGCTCATTGCATCAGAAAGAAATGTAGAAACATAAATATTAGTGTTGTAGCCCCACATCCCAAATGAAGGTGCTAAGGGGGTTATGGTCATGTTATCCAAGGAACGAAGCCTTCAACATCCTCCGCAAATGAGAGAGCATGAAGCAGTTGCTTTCAGAAACTCACTGCAGTTTGGTGCCACCTTCTTCTCTCCATTTTTGTCCCTTGTCCCATTTCTGGAGAGCATCTTGCTCAGAAGTACGGGCCATCCGATGTAGTTGACTGTAAGACAAGATTGACATCCCATTACTGATGGAAAAACATGTGCCTGATTCTCCTTAGAGATGCCATTCTATGAAACAAAGCATGAAAAACTACAAAAGATAAAGAATTCATGAACCGTAATCTAAAAGTTGCAGAACTGTTGACGTTAATGACCAGAGACAAATGATTAACTCTTGGTGGGAAAAAACATGTTTACATTAACAGAGACAATGACTCTTTTAACTTAAGTCAAGGAGGCAAACACAATGCACATTGCTTAAGAAGAAAAGCCAACATCTGTATGGAATTGTTTTAGCTGGGGAAAACACCTATCGTTCATTTACAACGTTTTGGACCCCATATGAGTTCCAGCCAATCCTTTAATTTTCGAACTTTTCTCTTAAATTCCTGGATGGGAGGAACCATCCATTTGCAATGGCCTTTTTCATCCCCAACATTGTGGGACTATTGCTCCCGAAGCCTTTGTCCTTCCATGGCCATTCTCTACAAGGATGGATTTTTGGAATATTACTTCCATATTTTGGAATATTGGTGTATATATAATGAGATAACCTTAGACCCAAGTCTAAACAAGAGGTTCATGGATGTTTCGTAGGCACCTTATACACATTGCTGAGAGGTATTGTATATGTGATAGTTTCAGTCGTGTGTGTATTGAATTATCAGAAAACAAAAATGTTGTTGTTGCTATGGTGGTTATTGTTATTATTGTTAAGGTTGTTGTTATGGTTGTTATTGTTGTTGTTGTTAGGGTTTTTGTTTTTGTTATTATTTTTATAGTTGTTATTGTTATCGTCTCCAGCAAAGGATCACCGCCTTGTCGGGGCGCTGGAGCTTGAGCACCTCAATGATGTCATGAGCGAAACCGTGAAGGGACACCCAAGACGGGACGGTTGTGGCAGAGAGGTCAGACCAAGCGTGATACCTGGGGAAGGCAATGGCAAACCACTCCAGTATCCTTGCCAAGAAAACTAAATGGACCAGTACAACCAGAGATATGTCGGTATGCCATTGGAAGATGGGACTCCCAGGTCGGAAGATGGCCAAAATGCTACTGGGGAGGAGCAGAGGATAAGTTCAACTAGCCCCAGATGTGATGACGCAGCTAGCTCAAAGCCGAAAGGAAGGCTAGCGGCCGACGGTACTGGAGATGAACGACGAATCCGATGCTCTAAAGATCAACACACCATAGGAACCTGGAATGTAAGATCTATGAGCCAGGGCAAATTGGATGTTGTTATTGGTGAGATGTCAAGACTAAAGATAGACATTCTGGGGGTCAGCGAACTGAAATGGACTGGAATGGGCCACTTCACATCAGATGACCACCAGATCTACTACTGCGGACAAGAGGAACATCGAAGAAATGGAGTAGCCTTCATAATTAATAAGAAATTCGCTAAAACGGTGCTTGGATACAACCCAAAAAATGACAGAATGATCTCAATTCGAGTGCAAGGAAAGCCTTTCAACATTACAGTGATCCAAATATACGCCCCAACCACAGCTGCTGAAGAAGCAGAAGTAGATCAGTTCTATGAGGATCTGCAGGACCTACTGGATAATACACCAAAAAGAGACATTATTTTCATTACAGGAGACTGGAATGCCAAGGTGGGAAGTCAAATGACAACTGGGATCACAGGCAAGCATGGTCTGGGAGAACAAAATGAAGCGGGACGCAGGCTGATTGAATTTTGCCAGGAAAACTCGCTGTGTATAACGAATACTCTCTTCCAACAACCTAAAAGACGGCTTTACACATGGACCTCACCAGATGGTCAACACCGAAATCAGATTGACTACATCCTTTGCAGCCAAAGGTGGCGGACATCCATCCAGTCGGTGAAAACAAGACCTGGGGCTGACTGTAGCTCATATCACGAACTTCTTATTGCCCAATTTAGAATAAAACTAAAGAGATCAGGGAAAATACACAGACCAGTTAGATATGATCTCACTAACATTCCTAGCGAATATACAGTGGAAGTGAAGAACAGATTTGAAGGACTAGATTTAGTAAACAGAGTCCCAGAATAACTATGGACAGAAGTCCGCGACATTGTTCAGGAGGCGGACAACAAAGTACGTTCCAAAGAAAAAGAAAACCAAGAAGGCAAAATGGTTGTCTGCTGAGACACTGGAAGTAGCCCAAGAAAGGAGGAAAGCAAAAGGAAACAGGGATAAGGGGAGATATGCCCAGTTAAATGCGCAATTGCAGAGGTTAGCCAGAAGAGATAAGGAACTATTTTTAAATAAGCAATGCATGGAAGTGGAAGAAGACAACAGAATAGGAAGGACAAGAGACCTCTTCCAGAAAATTAGAAACATTGGAGGTAAATTTCAGGCAAAAATTGGTATGATAAGAAACAAAGATGGCAGGGACCTAACAGAAGCTGAAGAGATCAAGAGAAGGTGGCGAGACTATACAGAAGATCTGTATAGGCAGGATAATAATATTGAGGATAGTTTTGACGGTGTGGTGAATGAATTAGAACCAGACATCCTGAGGAGTGAGGTTGAATGGGCCTTAAGAAGCATTGCTAACAACAAGGCAGCAGGAGACGACGGGATCCCATCTGAACTGTTTAAAATCTTAAAAGATGATGCTGTCAAGGTGATGCATGCCATTGCCAGCAAATATGGAAAACACAAGAATGGCCATCAGACTGGAAAAAATCAACTTATATCCCCATACCAAAAAAGGGAAATGCGAAAGACTGCTCAAACTTCCGTACAGTGGCCCTTATTTCTCATGCCAGGAAGGTAATGCTCAAGATCCTGCAAGGAAGACTCCAGCAATACATGGAGCGAGAGTTGCCAGATGTTCAAGCTGGGTTTAGAAAAGGCAGAGGAACGAGAGACCAGATTGCCAATATCCGCTGGATAATGGAGAAAGGCAGGGAGTTTCAGAAAAAACATCTACTTCTGCTTCATTGACTATTCTAAAGCCTTTGACTGTGTGGATCATAATAAATTGTGGCAAGTTCTTGGTGGGATGGGCATCCCAAGCCCCCTTCCCTCTCTCCTGAGGAATCTGTACAAGGACCAAGGAGCAACAGTCAGAACTGACCACGGAACAACAGACTGGTTCAAGATTGGGAAAGGCGTACGGCAAGGCTGCATCCTCTCACCCAACCTTTTTAACTTGTATGCAGAACACATCATGCGATGTGCGGGGCTGGATGAATGCAAAGCTGGGGTGAAAATTGCTGGAAGCAACATTAACAACCTCAGATATGCAGATGACACCACTCTGATGGCCGAAAGCGAGGAGGAGCTGAGGAGCCTTCTAATCAAGGTGAAAGAAGAAAGCGCAAAAGCCGGGTTGCAGCTAAACGTCAAAAACACCAAGATTATGGCAACAAGAATGATTGACAACTGGAAAATAGAGGGAGAAACCGTGGAGGCCGTGACAGACTTTGTATTTCTAGGTGCAAAGATTACTGCAGATGCAGACTGTGGCCAGGAAATCAGAAGACGCTTCCTTCTTGGGAGGAGAGCAATGTCCAGTCTCGATAAAATAGTGAAGAGTAGAGACATCAGACTGGCAACAAAGATCCACCTAGTCAAAGCCATGGTCTTCCCTGTAGTCACCTACGGATGTGAGAGCTGGACCTTAGGGAAGGCTGAGCGAAGGAAGATCGATGCTTTTGAGCTGTGGTGTTGGAGGAAAGTGCTGAGAGTGCCTTGGACTGCGAGAAGATCCAACCAGTCCATCCTCCAGGAAATAAAGCCCGACTGCTCATTGGAGGGAAGGATACTAGAGACAAAGTTGAAGTACTTTGGCCACATCATGAGGAGACAGCAAAGCCTAGAGAAGACAATTATGCTGGGGAAAGTGGAAGGGAAAAGGAAGAGGGGCCGACCAAGGGCAAGATGGATGGATGGCATCCTTGAAGTGACTGGACTGACCTTGAAGGAGCTGGGGGTGGTAACGGCCGACAGGGAGCTCTGGCGTGGGCTGGTCCATGAGGTCACGAAGAGTCGGAGACGACTGAACGAATGAACAACAACATTGTTATCGTTGTTATTATTTTTATAGTTGTTATTGTTGTTGTTATGCATGATATGGTTGTTATGACTATGGTCAATAGGGTTGTTGTTATTATTATTATTATTATTATTATTATACTTGCTATTGTTGCTAATGGTTGTTGTTATTATTGTTGTTATTGTTATTCCTGTTGTTATGGTTATTATTATTTTTGTTGTTGTTATGGATGTTCCGGTTGTCATTATTACTATTATTATTATTATTATTATTATTATTATTATTATTATTATTATTACAAACGAACTATCCAAGGTATTCAAGTGTACCATTTTGGAGCCTGTCAGCTTTCCATATAACACTGGGATCAAAATTTGATTTTTTTTCCCTATCTCTGGTTTGAAAGTGTTTTTCCTGTGTTGTTGTGTGGTCCTTACTTTAAAAGTAGTTGTGATAGTCCTGTTTAATTGTGCAATCCTTACACTGAAGGTAGTTGTTCTACTCCAACTAGTTTGTGCCACAAGGCACATTGAATTGGGTTGATACTCTATTCTGAGATGTTCATTGAAGAACTAGAGCAGGATATCTCCCAAAACCAAAGTTTTTGCAGTTTAATAAACTTTTTTTCATGTTTTTATGATAGAATCAATTAAGAAATGACATATATAACCCAGGAACAAAACTTGTGTTACATAGTGTAATGGATGCTCAACCTGGATGTGATGGTGCCGCTTATGTGCAAGGCAAATCGTTGATGGCTGGGAATGCAGACATTGGGAGGAAATGAAGTGCGGGAAATGAGGCATGGAGGGGACACTGGGCCTTCCAGTCATGCAATCATAGAATCACAGACTTGGAAGGGACCCCATTGGATTCATCGCTTACGCTTGAAGCTCAGGCGTCGGCGGTGTCTGGGAGGGCTTTTGCACAATTGAGACTTGTGCGCCAGCTGCGACCGTACCTCGCGAAGGCTGATTTGGCCGGGGTGGTCCATGCCTTGTAATGTGCTCTATGTGGGGCTGCCCTTGAAAACGGCTCAGAAATTTCAACTGGTCCAACAGGCAGCGGCCAGGATGTTAACCGGTGCTCCTGACAGAGAGAGGTCAACCCTCCTGTTCAAGGAGCTCCATTGGCTGCCGTTTATTTTCCGAGCCCAATTTAAGGTGCAGGGGCTTACCTACAAAGCCCTGAACGGTTTGGGACCACCCTACCTGCGTGACCGCATCTCCATTTACGAACCCACACGTTCACTTCGTTCATCCGGAGAGGCCCTGCTCGTGATCCCGCCTGCGTCACAAGCACGTTTGGTGGGGACGTGAGACAGGGCCTTTTCTGTGGTGGCCCCCCGACTCTGGAACACCCTCCCCAAAGATCTTAGACAGGCCCCTACACTGGCAGTCTTCAGAAAGAACTTGAAGACCTGGCTGTTCCGATGTGCCGTCCCAGAATAGGAAAACTCCATCAATAAATCCCAGAAGCACTTTATTAAAACTATGACTGCCGCACACTGCACACTGTACTTGCCCTCTAAGCCTTATATACCACCTGTCACATCAGCACTTTTAATTCTGTACCCATTACTCTGGCCTGGCCCAGTTTTATTGTGTTTTGGTGTATTGTTTATTTTTGTTGTTTAATATTGCTTTAATTGTTTTTAATTTGCTTTAGGTTGTATATTGTTATGTTGTGTGTTGAGGTCTTGGCCTTTGTAAGCCGCATTGAGTCCTTCGGGAGATGCTAGTGGGGTACAAATAAAGTTAATAATAATAATAATAATAATAATAATAATAATAATAATAATAGTAATAATAATTGGCCATCTAGTCCAACCCTCGCCTGGTCCTCTTACCGCAGTCTTCCTCATCAGCTCCATCGGTGCAATCGGCAACTCCATTGCAGTGCATGGGCTGCGGAAGGCAGACCGTCTCGTTTCCGCAAGGAAATTGTCCCAACGGGCAGTGGCCACGATCTGGTTGAAGGCCGAGCAGAAAAGACTCTGTCAAATGGGGAAAAAGAGCAGACATATTATACTCTGTAACACGGTTTTTGAGTCCCCCTCGCCTGCTTTGAGTTCCCTTCGGGGTGAGAAAAGCAGTAAACAAATACTGAAAATAATAATAATAATAATAATAATAATAATAATGTCATTTCCTAATTGGTTCTACCATAAACACACATGGAAAGTTAATTAAATTGCAAAATACTTTGTTTCTGTAGGAGGGACATCCTGCAGCAGCACATTTTGCTTCAAATTTTCAATGAGCATCTCATCATCAAGTCTCGACCAATTCAACATAGTGGCAGCCACTAAGTTTCTGGAGTAGAATAACTAACTACTTTCAAAGTAAGTATTGCACAATTAAATAGGAAGTAATACCTTCAAAATAGGAACTGATTTTTTTGAAATTTTGTTACGTATTGTTCTTCCTGGTCCCAAGGCACATAAATATTGCAATGGTTGGGTGACAATGTGGCAAGCATTTAGCAGCTGCTTCATGATGACTCTGCCCTGAGCTGTTTAGCAGCCGGGTGCAATTAACTCTGGCTAATTGTTGTCCCAGCACCTGGTGTGGCTGTGTACATTTCTCGCCTTGAGAAGGATGTTGTAAGGGGAGAGGAACAAAACCAACGGGGAAGGAAGGAATGACCAAAGGGAAGAGGTTGCAAAGTTTGGGCTTAGAAATGGAAGACATACCGTATATACTCGAGTATAAGCCGAGTTTTTCAGCTCTTTTTTGGGCTGAAAAAGCCCCCCTTGGGTTATACTCAAGTGAGGGTCCTGGAAGGAAGGTGTGGGGCTGAAAGAATCCCTTCTTGGCAACCCTTTCCAGTGTCTGGTATCAGCTAGGCATCACCTTATAGACATTTTCTTTCAGAGTAAGTTTAATAAACTCTTGGTCCGGACTCAGTCCTTCTCCCTCTTAGTCACCCCAGCCTCTCACCCTGGCTTTGGAAAGGCAATGTGGAGAAGAGGCAAATAAACAAGGCCACGCAAGGTGTGGAGTCCTGGCACTTTAGTGCTCATATCCTGCAATTACCTTGGTCAAATATGGACCAAGGGAAATGGCCCTGGTTGTAATTGTGGCTCCAGAGGCCATCTGTCCAATTCTGGGCACAGAAGTCCAGGAGCTTCCACCTCACTTTCTCCCCCTGTGAGAATTGGGTTTTGGAAAATTTTTAGTTTTTAGTTCAGAGTTTTGTTATGGACGTTAAATGTCCTTTATAGATATGGATGTGGAGAGATATATGACTGGCAGCACAATATGTTTATATTCTGCCATGGCTTGAATGGGGTCTCCTTGAGCCTCGGTTGGGACCCATTAGACATAGATAGATACATCGATAGATAGATAGATAGATTCCTAGAGATAGAAGAGACCCCAAAGGCCATCCAGTCCAACCCATAATAGATAGATTGATAGATCAATCGATCGATCGATCAATAGATAGATAGATAGATAGATAGATAGATAGATAGATAGATAGATAAGATGGATGGATAAATAGACTCCTAGAGTTGGAAGAGGCCCCAAGGGCCACCCAGTCCAACCCATAAGACATAGATAGATAGATAGATAGATAGATAGATAGATAGATAGATAGATAGATAGATAGATAGATGATAGAATCCTAGAGTTGGAAGACCCCAAAGGCCACCCATTCAAACCAATAAGAAAGAGATAGATAGATGATAGATAGATAGATAGATAGATAGATAGATAGATAGATAGATAGAGATTACTAGAGTTGGAAGAGACCACCCAGTCTAAGCCACAAGTCCTAGAAAGATAGATAGCAATAGAATCCTAGAGTTGGAAGAGACCCCAGTCCAACCCATGATAGATATATATATAGATAGATAGATAGATAGATAGATAGATAGATAGATAGACTCCTAGAGTTGGAAGAGATTCTAAGAGTTGGAAGAGACCCCAAGGACCTTCCAGTCCAGCCCACAAGACCCAGATAGAGATGGAACCCTCAAGTTGGAAGAGACCCCAAGGACCACCCAATCCAACCCATAAGACATAGATAGATGATAGATAGATAGATAGATAGATAGATAGATAGATAGATAGATAGACTCCTAGAGTTGGAAGAGACCCCAAGGACCACCCAATCCAACCCATAAGACATAGATAGATAGATAGATAGATAGATAGATAGATAGAGTTGGAAGAGACCCCAAGGACCACCCAGTCCAACCCATAAGACATAGATAGATAGATGGATAGATAGATAGATAGATAGATAGTAGATGGACTCCTAGAGTTGGAAGAGACACCAAGGGCCACCCAGTCCAACTCATAAGACATAGATATAGATAGATAGATAGATAGATAGATAGATAGATAGATAGATAGATAGATAGATAGATAGATGATAGACTCCTAGAGTTGGAAGGGACCCCAAGGACCACCCAGTACAATCCATAACACATAGATAGACAGACAGACAGACAGACAGACAAATAATAGATAGAAGATAGACTCCTAGAGTTGGAAGAGACCCCAAGGGCCACCTAGTCCAACCCATAAGACATAGATAGATAGATGATAGATAAATAATAGATAGAATAGATAGATAGATAGATAGATAGAGTTGGAAGAGACCCCAAGGACCACCCAGTCCAACCCATAAGACATAGATAGATAGATAGATAGATAGATAGATAGATAGATAGATAGATAGATAGATAGTAGATGGATTATGGATGAATGGGAGATAGATAGATAGATAGATAGATAGATAGATAGATAGATAGATAGATAGATAGATAGATAGATAGATAGATAGATAGATAGATAGACTCCTAGAGTTGGAAGACCCCAAGGACCACCCAGTCCAACCCATAAAATATAGATAGATAGATAGATGATAAATAGATAGATAGATAGATAGATAGATAGATAGATAGATAGACTCCTAGAGTTGGAAGAGACCCCAAGGACCACCCATGTCTCCATGTGGGAGCTTTTGTCTGGGAAGTTGTCAGTATCATTTGTACTGCAACTACAGGATTCTGTAGCATTGAACCATTGCGGTTAAAGTGATTTCAAACTGGATCAGTTCTGCAGTGTAGATGCACCCATGGTATAAAACCTTAGCTATGGCGGTCAAAACATCTCAGTATCTCCTTTTGCTGAAAAGAGAGCTATCCCCTCACTGTATTTTCTTCTAAATGTTCTGTTCCTGGCTTGAAAGTTTTATTTCCTGTTTAATTGTGTGGTCCTTACTGTGAAAGTAGGTGTCCTACTCCAGAAACTTTGTTTTTGTACCATAAACTATGTTTAATTGGTTGGGACTTGATGATGAGAGATGCATTAAAAATTAGAGCAAAATGTGCTATAGTGGGATGATGTCCCTCTTGCGAGAACAAAATTAGTGCAGTTTAATAAACTTTCTCCATGTTTTCATGACAGAACCAATTTGAGCATCCATGATGTTTGCAAAATCAATCAGTGAGGGTGTCTGCATAGTGGTAGCCTGGATGTTGTTGTATGGAGGCACCCTCTGTTTGAGAGGTGTTCACTGACCCTTGATTATACACTGTGGAAATGATATTGATAACCCAGGAACAAAAATCAGGTTGCAAAGAGTGATTGCCTTGGTTGTCAATAACTCTTGCTCCAAAGCCAGAAGTAAACAGCCGAATGTTGGAAAGGTCTTCAGCCACAGACCAAGCTGTCCCTTTGGAGCGTCAGATTTACGGATGTTTGCTGCTTGGATGTTTGTGCAAAAGGGAGGAGAAAGCATGGGAGGCCTCCAATCCTAAATCCCAGAGAAACCGACATGGAGTTAAATCAAACTCTTTAAACATTCTGGAGCAAATGCCTCGAAAACGGCTCCCATTAATCCTTCGCCAAAGGCTGGAGCTTCTCCAGACACGGCTGCAAAAGTGGGCCAAGGAAGTAAATACATCTCCCAAGAGAGTCACTGGCTGAGCATCCTTTCTTTTGCACTGTTTCGGACTCGGTTTTAATTCTTTTCCAGCAAAGTCTGAAAGATGTGTTGTCGAAGGCATTCATGGCCAAAATCACTGAGTTTCCCAGGCTGCGTGCCCATGTTCCAGCAGCATTCTCTCCTGACATTTCACCTGCATCTGTTGCTAATGGCATCTTCAGACATTCTGTTGACAGTGAGGCAAGTGGAGCGTATATAATATCCCTGTGGAATAATGTTCGGAATGGGAGAAAGAACTCTTGACTATCTCAAGCAAGTGTGAATGTTGAAATTAGCATTTGAGTATCCATGAAGTTTGCAAAATCAAGTAGTGAGGGTGTCTGCATAGTGGTAGCCTGGATATTGTTGTCTGGAGGCACCCTCTGTTTGAGAGGTGTTCACTGATCCTTGATTATACATTGTGGAATAATGTCCAGGGTGGGAGAAAGAACCCTTGTCTGGGATGTTGTAGGGTTTCCGGGATGTATGGCCATGTTCTAGAAGCATTCTCTTCTGACGTTTCACCTGCATCTATGGCAGGCATCCTCAGAAGTTGTGAGTTCTGTTGGAAACTAGAAAAAATGAGTTTGTATAATGTATTGTCGAAGGCTTTCATGGCTGGAATCACTAGGTTCTTGTGGGTTTTTTCGGGCTATAGGGCCATGTCCTAGGGGCATTCTCTCCTGACGTTTCGCCTGCATCTATGGCAAGCATCCTCAGAGGTAGTGAGGACCTCACTACCTCTGAGGATGCTTGCCACAGATGCAGGCGAAACGTCAGGAGAAATGCCTCTAGAACATGGCCCTATAGCCCGAAAAAACCCACAAGAACCTTGAGTTTGTATATCTTTTGAATGTACAGGGTGGGAAAAAGATGCCCCCAGGCAGTAGGAAGCCACACCTTGAGAACTGCTGGGACATCAAATGCTAATCCAGGTGGCCTATTGCAACATTCACACTTGTCTCCAACAGGCAAGAGTTCTTTCTCCCACCCTGGACTTTCCACAGACATATAAACCTAAGTTTCCAACAGACCTCACAACTTCTAAGGATG